TCAAAAACTAGGCTTTCAAGCCTTGTTTTAAATTCAGGTCATCACCAAATTATAAAATTAGCATATACTTGTTGTGCCTTTTTCCAACAGCTGTAAGATGTTTTTTAAAAATTTTTCAAGACCTTTTATGTTTGTAATTAATTTTCAAATTGATATTAGTTTACAGAGATTGAAAGCAACGAAATTGTTTCTCTCTGTTGACCCGGAAAAAGATATTGTTTCCTGCACTTTATTTTTAACTGGTAAAATATAACTGAAGGTTGACTACATCTAATTTTGGAGCCAGTGTGAGGAAATTATTGGCGAGTAATTGGTAAGTCTCTCAATAAACTCACTTTAAATTGTGGAATTTATTTTGATCTAAAATATTCTGAAAACTCAAATTTATTAAGAATAACGCGATCACGCATGGAAATCTTCTTGTTTGTTTTCTCCCCAACAACATTATCGTCAACAATATGGTTGCTCTACTCTGAAGTGTCATTCGTAAAAGAATAACCGACCATTCCATTGTTAGTTTCTTTTGTTGATTAGATTAGTTAGAATGTTAGAAGTAACTCTAAACCCAACAATAATGTTTAAAGGATGATAAACAAAATAAAAGATTTTCGCAGACATTTCAATCTAAATAACTTATATTACATGCCGCCCCAATAGTTCTGACAAGAATGCACTTAATTTGTCGGAGATGTTCATCGCAGACGCAATGCTAGCTGCCCCTTTTATTCTGCGGCTCACCCTTTGTTCACTATGGGCACGTGTAATACTAATAATATCTTCCTTTCCCTGTATAAAGACATTGTAACAGTACTTCCTGATTTCCTGTACTTAATATTCTTCCGATCTTTAATATAAGACTTATTTAACTAATTTGATTAGATTAAAAAAGTTAGGTAAGTTAGTTAATTATAAAAAATATGACACATTTTTTTTAAAATATCATAATCATCTTTTTTAATATCCCTTTTTCTTTTCTACTCGATTATGATTAAGAGAGTATACATAGAGGTAATTTAGAGAAAATTGATAAATATGATAAATGGGTCTTATATTTAGAATCAAAACCAACTCAATAATTAGGTCCTATACTAAGGACCGGAGGAGTATAATATAAGTGATATAAGAACTTATTTGATTTTTGTTTTGGTCTTAAATATAAAACCCTAATTTACTTTATTTATCATATTTATTAATTTTTTTAAAATAATCATTATAATAATGGTACTACTAGTCAATACATTTGATTAGTAAAAATATTTTAGATAATACAATACCTAATTATTATAAATAACAAACTTAATAAATTTTTTTAATATACTCAAATTAATCAATTAATTTTTATATTAAGAACGGAATTACTCCTCCGGTCCTTATTATAAAACCCAATTTGACTTTTTATTTGGTCCTAATTATAAGACCCAATTCATTTTCTCTCTTATATTTATACATTTTTTTCCGAGATAATCCTTCTAATATGATAGTTTTAGCCAATATACTTAATTAGCAAGGATATTTTAAGAATGATAACACTTATTTACTATAAATAACCAACTTAACTTACTTCCTTAATCTCCTCAAATAAGTCAATTGGGTCTTATAATTAGGACCGGAGGAGTAGTATACAGTCAAATATGAAACCAAATTATCAAATTAAAATTTCCGACGCGGCCAACACGTTTGAATTTTGGAGGCGCCTATCCAAGTTCGGAAGTCGAAAATACATTTAGAGAATGGCGTCATTGGTGGAAAGGCAAATGAGAATGCCGAGAAAGTTGATACTTCTCCAGGCTGAGGCCCCAGCCAAATCCTGATCAATTAGGCAAAAGAAAAAAGTCAGATTGGAGATGCGGGGTATCGAACCCCGTACCTCTCGCATGCAAAGCGAGCGCTCTACCATTTGAGCTACATCCCCAATTGAAAGCGGGTGGTGATCCTTTTACTACAAACCTGTTGGGAATGCCTAACCAGTTTTGGGCCTAGCCCACTGCTTTCTTATTGGGAAAAAAAGAGAGGAAGGCATGTGGCTTTGTATGTAATTTTGATAGGTGAATCTTCTAATCATCAGTTCAGTGTCCGTTTGGATTAGCAATAAAAAAAAAAGGCTTATTTTTAATATGACTTTTTGAAAAGCAAGATTGGCTAAAAGGTGAATTGTGTTTGGATTGGAGTTCAAAAAAGCTAGTTTATGAAAATAAGATTGGTAAAAAGTTGTTTGGATTATCATTGAGTAAAAGTAAGTTTGTTTGAGTAAAAGAAATAAGACCCACATTTTGTCTTTCTCTCTCCACTTTCCCAACTCTATAAGCTACAATTTTTAGCTTTTGGCTTAAATATGTGATTTTTGCATCAGCTCTTTATTTTTTAAACTCTTCTAAACACATTCAAGGTCCGTTTAGATCAGCGATTGAAAAATTAGCTTATTGGAAAAGTAGCTTTTGAAAAAGTGAAGTTGGGTAAAAGCTAAATTGGATAAATTGAGTTGTGTTTGGATGGAAGTTCAAAAAAACTAGTTTGTAAAAGTAAGATTGGTAAAAGGTTATTTGGATTATGGTTGAGTAAAAGTAAGTTTGGTTGTAAAATGATTAAAATGGGTATGAGTTTTAATAAATAATAAAACATGATTTTAAAAAAATGATTTCACATAATACAATGAAATTAAAATAATTTAATGTGAAGAAGTTAAATTTAATGAGTGAATTAAATTTGAAAACTTTAGAAAAATCATAAAAGATATTTTAAATATAAAGTGAAACATGGAAAAAAAATGAATTGAGATAATACAATAAATTTAAATTAATTTAATATGAAGAAGTGAAATTGATTGAGTGAATTAAGTTTGAAAACATCATAGAAATGAAAAAACAATATTGCAAATATAAAGCAAAACAAAATAAGCTCTTCTGATATGATCATAAGCTCTCCCTTGTAGCTTATTTCAATTAGGCGTTCAAATGGCTTAAAAATTAATAAGCCCAATACACCACAAGCTTTGCCAAACAGACCCAACGTGTCAACCGAGCTTATTTTTAATTTTAAGTCATGTTTGGGCCAACAAACACTGATCCAAACGGGCACTCAAACACATTAAAAGCCAAAAACTACTTAAAAGTCACTTAAAAGCCACTTAAACGTAGCTCCAAACAGGCATTCAATGACAAAATTGTAAGATGAGAACTTGGAAACGCAGTAGCTAATAACAGCCACAATGACATTTATTGATAACTTGACAGCCAATGAGTTAGGAAGTTATAAAGAAGACAAAGGAGAAGCGAAACCAATAAAGGAAAAGGTACTTGTGTATGTTTAAAAGCTTCCATTCATTCATGCGGCTCATTTGCATTATTAAAGAGACAGTTTTTGGTGGTGTAATATCTGCCCTATTAAATAAGTCATTCAGCACAGTTCCTTCCTAATCATTGATTCTAGCAAACTAATAAAGGTTTAATATATATCATATATGTCGTCCAATCAAAATCAAATAGCCCATTTACTATGTATCTATCAGCCCTGAAACTGGAAGAGTCAATAATCAAAATCAAATTGCATCGCTTTGCTTTAACTATTGGCTCAGCCAAAGCAACTTTCCACTGTAGTGGCGCCTCAAAACAAAATTTGCAGATTTGGGTGCTCATGATGATGATTCTCTGGACAATGTGAGGCCTCAATTTCACTAAAGTATTATGAAAAATGGAGGAAGTGGATTCTGAAGGTATCTGATATTTATGAAGTGAGATTGATTAGGTTGGAATTAATCATCATGGCTTTACTGCAGAAATCTGATGAGATCAAAGTGAAAGCAGCCTCACCATTGGCCTTGCTTTTGAAGATTCAATCTTGCCTCTTATTTCTTTCTCATCCCATCTAATTAGGATTTCTACAAAAGTTGAAACATCTTTTCTTTCTAACTTCCAACAGAAAAGTTTCTTCATATTTATCCGTTTAAGAGTGCTATTTGTTCCATATTTAACTAAACACTAACTTCTCATTGAAGTTTTATTCATTTGACTCCTCCTTTCGGTCATGCTGAACAATCATTACAATTACAGTATATCATCAATGACCATGTGGAATGTAAAATAATATAAAGACCTATTATTATTCATTGATCATAAATAATTAAATTTATTTTCAGCTCGAATCCTTCCTAATTCTAATTCTAGCGTAATTATAACATTTATAAGTCAACCTTTATATAACTTATGACTGATCTTACTAATTAATCGTCTTCCATATAATAATGTATAAGAAGACTAATTTAATGTGACAAATAAGATGAGTCATGAAAATAGTCATAATTCCAAAAATGTATTTTGAAGTTCACATGCCACCTTCACCAAATATCTGCTTAAAAGAACCTTAGAGAATCTAATCTCATGTTTTTTATCCTTCACATTTAATACATACGTATATTAATAATTTAAGTGATGATGCATGTGAAGTAATATGTGCATGTATTAATTTGAGCTTCGTTTATAGAAATATATGCAAATATAACCATTGCCGTATCAACAAAAGATATAAAGGCTGCATTATTCATTAGTCATTAGGAACATGATTTATCTCAAACTTAGAGCCTTTCTAATTCTAGTTCTAGTAAAAATATAATATTTATAATTAGTTCTGTTTTTCATTAGTTATAAATAGTATATCCTTAATAAGTCTTCATCTATCATATAGGAAAATGTATTTAATGAGTGAAATTTGAGAGTTGTCCATCTATGTTTATGCTTAATAACAGAATTTTGACACTTGTTTAACTATTTAAAGGATGAGGGATTAAGGGGTCCAAAATTTTAAGAATCCGATAAAAGGAAAAAAGATTAATTTTTTCTATACTTAGAAGAAATCTAGAGAATCTAATTCCGTGATCTTTTCCTCAAATTTAATGGACACGTATATTAATATATGAGTAGAAGTGATGAGGTCTGCGAAGTAACACACACGAAATGTTCAAGTTTCATTATTGAGTTCCACTGAGAGAAGTCAGTCTCCAAAATCCATACACACAATCAAAACCCTTGAAGTGAGCCTTAGAAATACATACGTACATACATATATGTGTTATTGTATATAAGGAGAGAGAAGGGAAATCGAAAAATAAGTTAAAAAAAAAAAGAAGAAGAAGAAGAGAAGAACAAGTCAAACTCAGGTCCGAGACAGTACTTTCCATCTCCAGGATCCCAAGAAGAACTGGCTCCTTCTTCATGATCTGAGGAACCATGTTATTGTAGGAAGCTACTAATCTACTACTCGTTATATACACAAGCACACATACACAAACACAAAACGATGTTTCCCTTGGAATCTCTCTTCCGTGTACAAAACGAATCCATCTGCCTGATATTTTCCGAGTCAAAGTCTCTTGCTTTACTCCTTCAACGATCGAAAGCACTCATAATTACCCTGTAAAACCACATAGAGACCGCCATAGTTACGAACTCAGAGAAGAAACAAGACAACCGCACATATAATTTGATGCACCAAACAGGAAATCGGAAAAGAAAAAAGAGAACCAATCGGAAATGTTCGGACTTGTAGACTCAGGTCGTCCTGCTTGAGTTGGCGATTTTCTCCTCGTGAATTTCTTGAAATCACCTGCTGGAGTCCCCGCTGCATGAAAAAGAACCAACAGAAACCCATTAACTTTCACAAATCTCTCTGATAAATTTTCAACTGATCCAAAGAGCGTAGCTCAAAAGAGGGAATGACATAAAAGAATGTGACTTTATATAACTTACATCTCATCCTTTGTCGTTTCTCTTTTTCTCTCCCCTCTTTTAATGTTTTGTATGCATACGAAGAATTCGAATTGTTACGCTAGAATCTCATCCTTTTAATGTGAGAATTAAGTCGAAATTGGGTCATGGTCTACTATCTTTTAGAATCTCTGCACCCAATAGCAAGGGAGAGGAGAAAATAGACGGGTTGATTTGAAGTCTAGAAAGATTCCTACGGCAAAAGTTAACTTACAGGGTTGCAGAATCTGATGGTCATATCAGATTCTCATATTTTCCATGTTCAATCAAAATAAAGACTTGAATCTTATCTTAATATTCAAAATTTATCATAGCAACAACATAGAACCATACCCGTTCCATTCAAGCTTATAGCCCAACCAAGCTGCGATCAGGCATTAAAACAAACAGATAGAGAGGGAGAAGAGAATTACGTGTAGAAGGCGTGCGAGGGGTAGTGGGGCCGGAGGGCGAGTCCGGGAAAGAGGCGGGATCGGAGGAGAAACAACGGGAATCGGAGCTGGTGCGAACAATGGTGATGCTGCGAGTAATGGTAGGCGGCGGCAAGATCGGAGAGGCGGAGGAGGAGGCAGGGAAGGAATCGTACTTGCGAAGTTTTCCGAGGCCGGACTCCGGAGCAGGGCCGGCCAGCGTTTCGTCCCAGAGCTTGTGAAGAAAACCCATGATTATGGAATCAGCTTTCTTTTTTGGAACAATATTGTAAAACCCAGGAACGAAACGTAGAGATGGAACCAATTTTTCTTTTTCTTTTTTTTGTGTTTTTGGGGTTGTTTTGGTTTGAGAAGGAAGTGAGAAAGAGTGTACTTATAGAGAGAAAAATGGAGGATGAGGAGGAAGATGGAGTGGAATTGAGGATTGAATATTGACGGCTAAATCTCTGGTTTAAGCTCCGGCTAATGTGGCTTTCTTTAGAGCCATTGAATCCATATTTCTATATTTTCTCTTTCGATTCTCAAAAATCGTAATCCTAATAAATTCATTTTGCGAGTGCGTGACATGAAAAGATCAAGTCCTAATATTTAGTAGTTACTAGTAGTTATAGTTATTCTTTTTCCCAATTCATGTTTTCAGCTCAGTTGCTTGCGACTCGGCTTCCCTCCTCTTACTCTTCCCTTCTTTTACCTTTCTCATGTTTGACCTCATCGTCAATAGCTAACATCTTACGCGTTAGAAAATTATTACAATATTCAATAATAAAAATTAATAAATAAACTTAAATTGTTAAAATTTAACTCAGCCCAGTTAGAAGTGTCCTAATTTTTTCACTGTAGTTTAAATTGTTTATGTTAAATTTTAATGGTCCACTTTTATTTCATAATTTTTTAATTAATATAATAATTTTATAATGGACTAAATTTTAGCAATTAAATTTCAAATAATTTTTATATACAGAATAAAAAATAAGATGGAAAATTTTAAAATTCAAATGTGAGTATTTAAAAGAATAAAAAATCAACAAAAGACAAGAAAACTCAAAAATGACATGCGACTTGTTAATAGTTAATAAAATATACAATCTTTTTGTGCAAATTTGCAAGGTCATTTTTTAAAATAATTTCCTATCAATTGATGTTTCTGAGAAAGAGCCAAATCTTTTTTCCCTTTAAAGAAAAGAATGGAACCTGAAATTGTCTCATCGTGCTTTTTATTTTAAGTAAAGGTCTCTCTGCGCTTTCATTTTTACCACACAAAAAAATCCTACAGATTTTTACATTCGTGTTATTCATAGCCTTAAGTTTGAGTCTCATTACGAATCCAATCAAATTATTACTGAAAATTTTTTTACATTCATGCAATCTGACTCTATTTAAATTGACCTAATATAACTTCTAAAAATCAGTCAATTTTATTCCTACAGAAAATTTTCCAACTTATGTAATTATGAGTAATTATTAAAATGAGTATAAAATAGGGGAGTGGAAGAAGGGACTTGGGTGGGGGGGATGAGCCGAGCTGAAACGGATGACGTGGAAACCACGAGGAATGACATGGGGAGAGGGAACACGTGGGCCCTACTTCGACACATTGGATAAGCTCCCCACCCCATATTTCCAATATCCACCCACCAAAACCAGATATTGATGCTTACTTGTTCCCACCCAAAAAAAAAAAAATTACTACATCCATTTCATTTTATTTATCATAAAAAAAATGCAGTTTTATATGTTTAATAAAATTTTAAGCAAGTTAAATAGGTTAAAAATCTAAAATGAAAAAATCAATTGTGCAAAATCACTTGAAATTTGTTTAAGAACGTATGTTGAATTATATCTAATTATTTTGTAGTTGAATTGTAGCCCATCTCTAGCTGTATAGAGCACAAAACAAAATATTTGCGCAAAATTAAAAATATATTATATAACTTGAATAAGAATCTGCTGAAAATGAATTACATCCGCTTCAGGCTTTTGCAAGAATGAACTTTCTTATTAAGGACTTTTGATCAATTTTTACCCTTTAAAAATTATTACATTCTTTATTTTCCAAGAATTCATCAAATTAGCAGTAGTGTTTATTCAGACAGGGCTAAAAAATTTTTTTAGAAAAATACAAGCACGCATCTATGAGATTATGAATAAAAGATCTGTGATTGACAAGTCTAAGAGAGTGTTTGAAAACTGAATTTGTAATTTGCATAAATGCGACGGTTCGACTTCATCCAGAGGATATAAAGTAGTGGCGTGGGATCAATGTGTAATTAAGGGGCCATCTAATGTTGGTGTTTGAGTTTATGGTGCACGGTTATCCACTTTGCTTGGGGTCCGAGGTTAACATCAGAGCGGGGCAAGCCTATGTTATAATCACTTCATGTTTTGCTTCGGAATGGGATCTTTTCCCGAACTTCAAACCATGTGACTCCCACACACATCATGTCTTGTTTAAACCCCCCCCCACCAAAAAAAAAAAACCATGCAACCTGATAATTCAAGCAAGAATTACAATCAAGTCTTATAAAAAAAAAATTACAAAACAAGTTTCAGATGTTGTTATTTTTTACCGTAGAACTTATCATTACAGGTTACTTAGATTGTTATTAGGACTTGAGAGATAATAAATAATTAAGAAAAAAATAAAAAATATATTATTGGATTTTACCTTTCTCTAAATTTAAAGTGTATAAATAAGACCGGAGGCCGGAGGGAGTATTTAACAAGTTGGGACTTTTTTTTAAGAGTAAAAGTGTAACCGCAACTTAAGTATTTTTTCAGGTACATTTAGTTTTAAAATATTCTAATAATTTAGGATGTTCAGTGGACATTAACCCCTCTTTCCAATTGTATTGTTATGAAATTAATAATAGCATGTGGATGTTAGTTGAGTGTGTAAATAATGTGAATTTCTTTTTTTTTTTCCCATTTATGTTGATATTGATATTGAATTAAATCATTCAAATGCAATACTTTTGTTGGCAAAAAAATGCAATAGTTTATTTTTAATTTTTAGTAATTTGTCTAAAATATGGAATTAGAATACTGGTTTTATTTGATGTTTTACCTAAGATAAAATATTTGTTTAACCACGCATCATTATCCGGATAGATAATATTGTTTCTACCATTGACTCCCGATTATGTGATCCAGGTTTAAGCAAGCCATCATTTTAAAAGGGCAAACATTGCTGCTCTTAAGCAATGATTTATTACGGAGAAGTTGTTTTAAGTTATCATTCTCAATTCTTCTAAGGAAAATACATATCATTCTGGTTTTTATTATAAAACAAAATATATGATCTTTATTATAAGTCATTACGTATGTGGAGTATTCATTATTTTTTAAGATTGCTCTTATTTAAAATCTCATTAATTGTAACTTTTAGGATTTTTTAAATGTAATGTATGATATTAATTATGGGCAAATTTTATAATAAGGATCAAGATGATTATGCCTAGGAGCTTTTTGTTATATAAAGTTGTGAAGGATGCAGATAAGGGTGGGGAGAAGAAGTCAATTCATTAGCCTTGGATTCTGGTGCACGTTAGAATTTAGTTGAAAAGAGGGAAAAATAGGAAAAATATCAGTTTGCACCTATCAATGGTACCATCAATCAATTTTTAATTTGAAATATGTATTTTTTTATATTAAACACTTAGCATTATTAGCTTTTGCATAAAAGCTAGCAGTATTAACAAAGCAAAGTTACAGAGGTTAATGATACCAACAGAGTAAAATTAAAGTGTTCAATTAAGAAAGACAAAAAATAGTAAATTCTTGTGCCAGGGGACCAAAGCCACATTCATATTGAAAAAAAAAAAACATGATCACAAATGTCCTTGGTGCTTGTTATTTGCCAAAGGGAGTTCCAATTTAAACAGTTTTGATTTGAGGGTGTTTGGATGGAAATCAAACCATAATTTTAAAAGTAATTTTACGACATGTGAAGAAGTTTATCTCAATTTATCAAAAAGTGTTTTTAGAAAACACTTATGAGGATGTTCAAACACTCCCTCGCTGAGATACGTGCAGGACATTCCATTGCTTGAATTCCACTAGTATAATTTCATTTTTTTTAAAAAAAAATCTGGTTCTAAGGAGAAAAACAAGTTTCAAAAGAAATTTTTTATTTAAAAAGGATAGGTACTAACAATGTAAGATTATAATTCTCTAATCCTATTTATAAGGCATTTCTAGCATATTTTATCGGATCAAGAAAAATCTTAAACTATATTAACTCTCCATTAAAATATAACAATTTTTTAACTTTAGCCTTATTTAATATATATATATATACCATTCAAAAAAATAATTATCTACACTATAAAAAGAAAGGACCAAATGGTACATTTATGTGCAAAATTTAATGAAATAAGTTATAAATAAGGTAAAAAAAATCTTCTCTTTCTACCTTGTAAATAGAACTAGAAGAATAAGTAAGATCAAACTCACAACCTCTCACTTATTATGAGTTCTCATCTTACTAAGCAACAATGTCATCAGTGGAAATAAATGTTTGCTTTAAAAAAAAAGACTGAAATCTTATATTCAAAATCAAAATAAAAATCAAACGAGATTTTATATTAAAAATAGGAGATAAAATTATTTTCTTTAGCCAGTTACATCAATTATTCTCGCCTTACTTGAGAGACAGCCAGGTATTTCCGATAAGCTTTTCCGCCGCATCCGGCCCAATGGCGAATTTGGGCATCGACCAAGTGCGGCATGTTTTGGGCTGGCCCACTTGTATTGTTAACAATGAGCTTTTTGAGAGGATTGCCTGATGCTTAGACCATATGAAATAAAATTAGGTCTAGTAAAAGGGTATGTTGAATCAAGATTTGAATTTTCACTTTAAAAAAATACTTATATTTAGTGTTTGACAAAACATCAAATAGAATTGCCTCTATTAAGAGGATAATGCATAGGCAAAAAAAGAAAAGAAGAGAAAAAATAGAATCACTGAAAACTCATAGCAAGCAGCGCAAACGATGATAAATACAGGAGTCTTAATTACAAATTATTGTGAATAGGAGCAATGGAATTTCACATGTCACTTTTAATAATTTATAGCTAAGTATCTCACATCTGTATTTGTTTGGTTATATACGAACGTGATTGTCTTTGGAGACCTAATTGTTATTCCTTCAAAGTTCAAAACAATGTGAAGTAAAATATTTTCTTTTCCTGTAAAATAGTTAAATATCATATTTATTATTTAAATTTTACGATTATTTATCATATAAATATGTATAAAACTAAACAAACATTTTAAATTCTTCCCCCTTCGCATAAACAAAGAAATTATTTTTTTCCCCCCGAAAAAGGAAAGCTTCACCGGGAAGTGCTCCTCCCAAAGGGAGATCCAAAGTCCGTGCTTGCCCAGGCGAACCGAATAAAAGGCTACTGTTGAAACTTGACTCTTTTTTCGGGTTGGAACAATGGAACTCCACTTTAAAGTTCTTTCTTTTTCTAAACATTACTTTCTTTTAATTTTTTATTCAAAAGACATGTCTTTTAAAAATGAAGATGCTTCAATAAAAAGGAAAAAAAATAATTAAACTTAAACTAAAGTGAAAATAACTTTTAATGAAGAAGATTTTAATGTATAATATTTGAAAATGGATAGAAATTTATAAAAATTTGGAAAAATGCATAGAATTTGTGTAGTTTTTTTTTTTTGGCTAAGCAGTAAGCACTCCTTTGGTCTTAAGCAAGTAAATATACGATCTAATGACCAATAAACTATTGGTTGAGATGGTAAGCAGTCTTATCTCGCAAATAGAAGAACACAAATTCGAATACCAGGAAGTGCTCTTGTTGGGAAAGCTTTAAGCTTAAGATCTAATGAAGAAATTTACTTTGATGCTAAACATAAGATCCAAATTTACTTTATCTCCAAAATTTACAACTTGTTCTTCAAATTATTTTGAAAGAACTTTCATTAAGAAATAGTCTTTAATGCAAATGATTAATAGATATTTTTAAAAAATATATGTCTCACAAATAACTAACTTAATTAATTTTTTAATATTTATAAATTAGTTATCTAGTTTTTAAGTGTGAGGAGTATAAATTAGGAGCATAAAGAGTGATTTAACGTGAGCAAGAAAAATGAATTGATTGGCACATGCACCAGGGGGAATAAATAAAACAAAGTTGGTATGTGCTCCTTTTGAGGGTAGGGGCTTAGACTATTAGAAAAAATCTTGGTCAAAAAAAAGACTATTAGAAAAAATGGGTTGGTTTGCGTATGCCAAGTTGCCTCCTCCATTAATTTCAATTCAATGGTTCATGTTTTGTGATTTCATCTCGTGGGTTGTCCCCAGACAAGTTGACTTTTATTCTGTCTATGATTTCTGACTTCTTATTTATTTATTTTTGCAAACACATTAGGTACGGAGCAAAGTAAAGATTGGAATTAAGGTTGAAAATATACGTTAAAAAAATACTTAGCATGAGTGATTTTTTATCACATGGGATTAAGCAATCCCATGTAGATAAAGGATTGGAGAATGTCACTTTCCCTCATGGTATTTCATAGTCTTACGTATATGAGTTTATCTAATCCCAAATATCACACAATTACTTATGTTAAACACTTTTTCAATATAATTTTGCATTCTCAATCTCAATCTTTATCCCTCATTTTTAGTTCCTTTTCACTACTAAAATCTTTCTTGAATTCTTGAATCGGAGATGTAAGGATTTATAAAATTTTAAAGAATAAAACCTGTAGATGCTTAGAATTTAGAATCAAGAAAGTCTCAAGAGTCCTTTTCCCCGCCTGCTTCTGCTGGAAAAAAAATTGTATCAAACGGGACCTAAATTCAAATCGTCCTTTTTGTCCGTCACAACTTGTGCCACTTTGGCTGTCTTTTTAATCTTCTATCCTACCACAACTTGTTATCTTGTTACTTTAATTATTATGAGACCAACAAGCACGAACCTTTTATGATAAAGGAAAAAACATGGGAAAAATCAATTAAGAAAATGCGGTTTATCCGCAAGCTGATATGATATGGAAAAGAAAATGGTGGGAATATTAAAAAAAATGAAAAAGACGTTCCATGTTAAACGAACGGAGAAGAAAGTGGTATTTGTAAATAAATTAAAATAATCGATTGTGTGTATGAGTGTGTTGAACACAATGATCTGAGAAATCATGTTTTAATATTACCTGAAAAGAAAGCACAACTTATAGGTAGGGACGTGAATGTAATAAAGAAAGGAACTAAATCCCATGTTGCCTGACCCTTCAAGTACCCCTAAGGTTATTCTCAATACAATTATCGGTTTCAATGATTCCCTTTTAAAGTTACGTCTCATAAGATATTAAACATATGGAAGAAATACACGCATTATCTAACACTCGCTTCTTTCAACATCCATTTTCTCCCACTTGGATTCTCCAATATCAGATCAATTGCTAACAAACATATAAGCACATGACAAAAGCGGCTTTCAAGCCAACCCATGATATAATCAACATTTAATTTTTATCCTAATTTTAAATATAAAACCTGAATAGTTCTAGAGAATACATTTAATTAACAAACATATTTTTAAAAAAACACTTTTGTTACAAAAATCTAATTTATTTAATTTTCTTAATCTACTCAAATTTATTAATTAAATTAGATGATCTGTGAACTTTTGTTGCTCTGTACGGTGCTTTCGGACTAATAAGTTTCATGTTATGTCAATTTAAACTTTGATGGTAGCAATAAATTTTTTGGTGGCAAAAATTAAAAATTTTATTAGTTAAAATTCTTTTAAATACTGCATTTAATAAGAATAAATTGATAAGGTTTTCGCGAAATAATTAGAAGTAACTTTCATATAAAATAAGTTGGGAACGGCGGAAGTGCCCGTTATATTCTTGGGAAGGAGTTCACATGTGGGGTCTGAGGCCACGTGTTGTGGGACCCTCCTCCATCGATTACAAAAAGAAGCCAGCCTCAATTTTCTCCAGTTTTCTTTCTTCACTACTTGCCATCGTCCCCACATTCCCTTTTTCCACAGCCACCAACCTCTTCCTCTCTCAATCTCTCTTTTCTCCCTTCACTTTCATTCTCGCAGTCCCATCACAAGTATCTCACTCCACATGCATGTATCCTCCCTCCTCTCGCTTCAACTCCACACAAAGAACCACTTTAACAAACAAAACATTTCTTAGTTCAACCTGCAAAGCAAGCCCTCAACTACAACACATATCGGCCGTTAAATTAAATTTTGATTTGATTCCAAGTTCCATCTTGAATCTAAAATGGCAGCAAGCAAAATGATTAAAAAAGACCGAGTCAACCCTCTCTCCAAGACTGGACAATTTTGTTGACGCCCCAACATTGTTAATAACTCTCTTCATATCAGTATTACATGTAGTCATTGTTGTGTTCCAGACAGATCAATCACAGTTCAGCTTTGAGAGAGTCAGGTTAAGAATATCAGTGAATCGTTCCAAAATCCCCAGATTGGTGAGAAGCATATGGCCAACGAGGTGGTGACTATGCCGAAATACCGGAGATGTCATTGGAGGAAACATCATGCCCAGATGCAACCTTTGTTTCCTACCATGTCTTCGCTTACTGCTACCTGTTCCTCGTACTCCTCCTCCTCCCCTCCCTTCTTTATGTCTTGTAGCCGATCCACCTGTCTTCATATCACCAACCAGTAAATATACTGGACCATTGCTATATATATACACACACAGATGTACAGACACTAAGGTTATTTTCAGGCGAAGAAGTGACTTGCGATATCTGATATAATGCAGCAGGCATAGAGATGATGAGATGAAAAAGCTTACCATTTAGACATACCTCAAAACACATAAATACTCCAACTTGTTTGGTTCCTCACCGGTAATGTTAGTTTACTAGAAACACCTTGGGTACAAGTTCAACATAAGAAAGAACACACAACTCACTTAGACTCTCTGGATGAAAAGATTCAAAACCACTAATCTATTAAGCCAAGGCTGCTGCCAATTTTGGGGGGTCACAACAATTCACATTCTCTCGATTAATATCCTCTATGTATATAACCAATGTAGAGATATGGTTCGAGAATTTTTCTTTTAGATAAAAACTAAGGCAAATCTCATTTCCCTAATCATTGATGTATCATGCAGTATGAAAGTGAACACTTAGAAAGGCATATATATATACACTAACCCTAGACAGAAGTCCTGGAAGGTGGCTTCAAAGTCAAGAGAATCCGCATTCTTCCCAACATTCATCTCCGAGGAATTGCGTTTGTTAGAAGTGGAAGTTTCAGAGTAAGTTACGTACGTAGATGATGCAGAACAAGAAGCAGCAGTGTGGGAGTCACTTCCAGAACATCCAATGTCACTTTGAAACATATCTTCAAACAGTTGTTGCAACTCCTCAAAGCTCTCTCCCCATTTTCCTGTCCATTCACACACACAAAACAATGTCACCAAAATGAGTACACACAAACGAACTCCATATGTTCCAAGCTTTACACATTAAGATCTGCACATTGACACCATAAAGTTGACAAACAAGCATGGCACGATTAATTTGGCAGCGAGAGTTTTTAATCAAGAAAGGCTTAAACCCAGAATATAATAACATAATCAAGAAAGTCTTTAATCTAGAAAGTTGATTGCAGGAACCACCCCTCAAGGCAACGGCCACCAACCGCAACCACAAGCACAGGACAACAAAGTACTTATCTTCATCTCTGAACTTAAGGCAACTACCTACCCTGTCCTGTTATACCTAACATCCCAAATAAACGACTCTCGCAAAGGCTCAATAGCCAAAACAGTCATAAGGATCAAAGCTTACGATGCAAATTACAATTTGTTTATTGTTGACCCTCACAAGTGAAGTATAATGGAATCATACCTAATACGTACGGACTGAGAAGACTGGGTAGGGCCTATGTTGAACAAAGAACATCTGCCTAACATGTTTACGAGAAATTTCAAAAAACCAGATTGGACAAGTCAGCAAATGGGGACAAGTTGTGGCGTGGCGCCAACATCCCATGTCTACCTGTGAACCAAACGGGGCCTTAAGTTTCAGCGTCAAAAACTGTCAGCGAAAGCTCAGGTTGCTCCCATGTGGGCCCCATATTATTCGCGCCGCACCGGCTACTGTTATCACAGATCGCATCGGAATCGGAAACCTGGGGACAAGAATGGCAGCACCATGGGACCCACCATTCCCATGGACCCGCGAATTCTGGCGCTGAATTTCCAGCTACAAACCCCAGAAGCTACCATTCTGCTCCCAGTGAAAACATAAAGGGTCGGCGTCCTAGTTGATCATGAAGCTTGTGTCTTTACACTTCTACCCCGGAATTTGTTAGTATTATTACCTAAAAAAATATTCTTTTTATGATTTACAACTTGGTTGAAGGAAATCATTGCCCGAAAGAAAACCCGTACCCTACTACTCCAACCATTTCACCTAGCAATTACTACTTACTTTTCAGTCTGAAAAACTGGATTAATGATGAAAAACAAAATGCAGGAAGTCAAAATCAATGGGGAGAAAATTTCAGAGAAAATGTAATTAATATAGGGAGAATTACAATGGGTTCCAAACAAAGAAAACAATTGAAAAACAAGTTTCAAAGTTCCAAAAGTTATCATTTTCTTATAAGACTTGTCATTAAGAATTGTTGGATTGTATTGGCACTTTTTGTAATTATTTTTTTTTGTAAGATTTAATTGTAATTCTCCTTAATATTCAGCCCATTTTGTTTTGACCTGACTAATATTCACTTCAACGAATTTACAGGATATTATCTCTCGAGCTAAAATTGCCGGGCCCCAGAAAAAGAACAGATCGACCTGTGACCCAGAGGTGGCCCATTTTCAATCTCGAGAGAACAAAAGGAGGAGGAATCTTTCAAGAAACGAAAGAAAAGCAGCACCAGCAACAACAACGTAGGATTTGACAAAAGTTAACCTCATGTTTATTAGTAGCTTTATCCACTAAACTAACCAAAGCAGGTAGGTCGATTTTCCAACATTTTACCTATCAAAATTAAACATTAAATACTGACTTTGAGTATAAGAATGACTCACATTTGGTTTTGTTTGGCTCATCATTGCTGCCATTTCGTTCAAGAAATCTCCCATCCCCTGCAAGAATTAGGAAAAACAGTTAAATATTAGTACAAAAAAGATGCTAGGCGACAGAAACGCCGATACAAACATCCATATGAAGAAGCTAAGCAGCCCACAAAGATTGAGAATCAATCATGCTGATTTCTATCTTGAAGGGAACAAAATAGAACCCAATAGAAACCCAGAAATAAGAAAATTTATCACTTAACAGAGAAAAGGGGGAAAATAGCTCAAAAACAGGGCAAGAATGACCAATAATAAAACCAGGGGGAAACTAAAAGGGGGGGGGGGGAAGAGGCACACTTCCTCTATTTTAAGTAAAAAGGACCAAATTTTTGTCTCAAAGAAACAGAGACCAGACGGGTCGGCCAAGAGACTTACAATGTCGTCGTCATCGCTGTCATAGACTCCTATGTCATACAAGAACCGCTTATTCGCATCAGATAAAACTGTGGGCGCAGAAAAGAAAAGAAAAAACAAAGTAAGAAGAGAGAACGAAAGTAGCATCTCGTGAATTACTTGTTTCGGTAAGAAGGATCCAATGAATCCACCTATCTATGGTCAAAAACTTATCAAAAAAAGAGAGAGAGAAGGAAAAATTACCGGAATAGGCTTGCTGAATTGCCTGGAATTTCTTCTTAGCTTCTTCCACGAACTTTGAATTCCCCGACGCTGAACAACGATCAGGGTGCCATTTCTATCCCATCAAACAAAATTATTTTTCTTACTACAACGTTCTAACAAACGCACATAATTCCTGGGACACATCTTATAATCCTTTTCCCATACCAGAGGAAAATGGACAGAGTGTTCCTCACGGAACAAAGATCACATGGCATTTCTCAATCTGAAGTAGGATGTTTCACAAGCTATGTTCTCGGAATCTTACAAACAGGGCAATTAAGAAAAAAGAAAGATGAACAGAGAGGCATTCAATTCTAACCATTGCGAGTTTCTTATAAGCATTTCTGAGCTCTGATTCTGTGCACTCCTTATCCAATCCCATAACCGCATAGAAGTCATTGCCTTTTTCTTCTCCATTCGCCATTGTCGTTCTCAACGATGAAATAGAAAAATTCAAACTTTCGCAAAGAGATGCTATAACGCAACGCCAACCAGACCCAATGAAATCCAGAAGCAACAATCAGACCCAGTTTTTCTCTTCTCTTTCGTGTCGACGAATTGACTCAACCAAACCCAACTAAACACAAACACCGTACAACAAGAAAAACTACCTTAAAAAAGGAAGGGAAACACACAACACAAGGATAATACTAGGATTTTTTTTTAATATTATTATGGTACTTGTTTGAGAATTGGGACACGGAACCTTAGCATTTTAGGTTCCGTGTAGTGAAAGGGGAAGAGGAGAGGAAAAGAGGAAGGAGAGGCTTTCCCGGAGAGATCACAAGCAGACCCTCCCCAACCTCCCTATGGCTCAAGAACACTCCAGAAACTGAGCAGTTTATATAGTTTTGATGTATTTTAATTAGTTTAATGTTGGTTTATTTAACGGTGAGATGGGGATTGACGGGGGTGAGAATATACGGACGAGATTGCACGGTGGGTTTAGATATTTTTGGTTGGTTGATTGTGGTGTGTCCAGAAGGTTCTGTTTTCACTGTGACAAAGTCCTTTTTGACGGCCTAGAGGGGGGAGTGGGGCCCACCGCAACATGGGGACTTATTTATAGCAGCTTTGAGAATTGATTGATCATTTCATGTTGTATTTTATTGTGATGGGCATAAAACCAGAGAAAAAGGTGTGGGACCCATGTCATTGGAAATGTGGTTCTAGTAGGGTATTTCTTTTTTCCCTACAGATTTTTTCAAGAGAAACATTTATATGATGTCATTTTATATTTTGTTTTATTATAATCATTTTTTATCAGACATAATTATTACTATAACTTTAATGTTAAGTCACTTCAAAAATGTTAAGTCACTGCAAACGGATTATGTCTGTTTAGAACAGCTTATAAATAGTTTTTTAATAATAATTTACAGAATATGAGATAAACATATATAAAAAATTTTATCTCGATTTACGTAAAACATATTTATAGGAAAATTTTAAGCCTTCCCAAACAAAATCTTAATCCATTGAGATATCTACTTAGTATAAAAACACTTTACGTACTTAACCTTTTGTATGCAGATTATTTGCTTTTCATCAAATCATTATAAGTGGGTTTAATTTTAGTTTTACAAAATAAAAATATCTAGTGGGTTGGCTTTTTTTTTTTTTCTTTCCTTTGATGATCACCATTTACCCTCGCGCGCACAAGCGCAACAAGTAAGTCAAGTGACTAAGTCAGTTTTTTGTCCTGAAGTCATACGAATGGTGTTGAAATGTATCAAATAGATTAAATCATGATGTATTTTCACTATTTTATATGACAAAAATGTTAAATCCTATAATGAGAAGTTATTAAAATAATTTTCAGTACATGACAAAATTTTATCTCAGAGTTGACTGGAGAAGAAGAATATGTAAATGATTGAGGTTCAATTTTGTCTCGCAAATTTTAACATGGCAGCTGCAAATGTCTGAAGTTTTTTTTTTTTTATAATCAATATGCCCTAAAGACCTTAAAATGGGAGCAACGTTGCTGTAGTTAACGGTTAATATTGATTGTTTAACTATTATAATGAATTTGTTTTTTTTAACATTTTCTAGATAATGTTAATTTAAAAAAAAACTTTCATTCTACAAAATTCAGTTGAGGCAAAAAAAAAAAAAATCTAAAAGAAGAGTCAAAAGTGAGGGGGAAAATTGCTTCAATTTTGAAGTGATTTTTAATAAAAAAATCCATTGGCATAAAAGTCATGCCAAATATCACCAATGCATGAAATAGCTTTGACATTTCTATCTGATTAACTTATTAACAAAAAGTTACTTAAACATAAATCACACTATGCTCGCCTTGGTATAGGAAAAAAATCACACTATATCAATTTATTTTTACCTCAATCTTACTTTACAAAAATTAGTTGACATAAAAGTTCCTTTTCTCCTAACATTATCAAACAACCTTTAATATCAATTTCCCTGACATAAAGGTGCGTCGGTTGATGATAAAAGGAGACTTTAATCTGTTAGTCTTTGTTGTATTCCTGTTTATTTCATATTATATATGATTATGTTCTTTTAAAATAAATTTTCTTTGTAAGCAATGTTTTTAGTGGACAAAAATTATTTATTTCTCTTAAAAACGTATTCATATTATAGCATCTAACAAGTTTTTTTTTTTATGGTTAATCACTCCTATATATATAAGTGTGATGTGCAGAAATTTTAATTAATTAATGAGAAAAAAGTTTATATTATATAACGATTATGGTTCTCTAATTTTCAATCGCTTCATTTTATAACATCTTTCACTCTTTAATTTTACTATCATTAATTGTTAACGGAAAATATTGATCATACAATTTTAAACAAGGATAAAAGATGTCAAATGCTGATTCAATCATTTTTATATTTTGAAATTAGAATGAGCCTGCGCAAAAATGAGTCCAAAAATAAAACTAACAAAATGAACTCAGTCCAACGGAATTTTCTTTGGATAAATCATATATGCAAATATACCGATATGTACAAACACACACACACACAGATGCATGCATGAGATGTATGTATTTATATTTATTTAAAATGAGGCTGCAGGCTGAGATAACATGGAAACTGATATTGAAAATGGATTTGTGGGACACAATATCCGACCAGAGGAGTTCATATCTGGTTCTCATTCTTCTTCTTCTTTCCTTCACTGCTTTACCATGCACCTCGCACGTGATTTCTAGGACCTCCAAGCCATATATCACGTGCCTCTATTCCTTTTCCCACCACTCATCTCTCTGTTTTTGAGATAGCGTTTAAATCACTTATAAGTATCATTTACATAGATCAAGACAAAACTTCTTAATATATTTATTATTCTGTAAATCATGATTAAAAAAATTATTTATAATTATTTTAAACGGACCATATATCACCACCTTATTTCTTTATTTTTCTTTTGGCACACAAGCAGGGGCAGTTTAATATAATTACTCGATCCGCGTTTGAATATCAAAATATAATATTTTATTCATTTTATTTTTAAATTTAATTATATATATATTTTGCTAGCATATAGATTCAGGAGGTGGGTTTTGTTGGGAGTGTTTGGAAATCGAAGATTTTCTTGATAAGACTTACCCATGCTGCTTTGGGAGTTCTTTCAGAAAGTCAATTGGTTTGAAACCGATGTCAAACGCCTCCCTCCCTAATTGCCAAAGAAGCACTAGATTTCATCTTCAAAAGTAAAATTAGTTTTTCTTTTTTAATTTGGATGAAACACTGAAGAGGCACAGAAGCCAATCTTGTCCGCGCAATTAATCATTTTATGGATTTTGGTGGAGACACAATGCATTGGGAGCGAAAGTGATCAGCATATATATGCTCTCCTCATATGACCCAAAGATATCCATGGGACCCTTTTTAATTTCATAATATATATTCTTCTTCCACCCTTTCACATATTATATATTTTCTGAATATCAACTTGCACACATATTGGCATATATTTCAAGATTTGATGTCCTTGTCAGTGATTATTTCATCTGTATATGCTCAGTCCAAAATCACCCATCAATGTATATCTATATAATCCATGAAAAAGACACTATTCACAAATTAAAAATGGTGCAACTCTTTTTTCCCCCCCTTACATGTTAAAAATTTTCTGTTCAGTTCGAAGTGATCCCCACAAGCACTAACAATTGCCCCTCAAATTCAAATTTAATTACATCAACTTTCATGTCAGAGCAAGTTTTTAAATTAAACAACTTTATTTTTCTATTTAATTAACGAAAAAATGGATCGTTTTAAGTTTGATTTTTTTCCATTTATTTTATTGTACAATTATCACTGCAAATCTAAAAAGTTAATCTTCTCTTTTGAAAGGAATGTGATGACAAGAGAGCCAAGTGTCCATAAATTTTCTATATACACACATATTACCATCTCCTGTGCTAAATCTAAAATCTATTTTTTAATGTAAACTATACTATAAGTTAAATTTTATATTTTGTATTGGAAGTAGTATTAAAAATGTGAGGGTAGATATTTATCATGAATTATCCAAATTTGTTGAAAAACAATTACAAAGGTGGATCCAGACGCAGCTGTATATTCTCAAAGTATGGTCCCATCATGACACAAACTTTAAACACATTTTCAAGTAAGCAGAAGAAACAATGCAAGTAGACATATACGAAAAAGAAGGCAACAAGTTGCGGCAGGAAATGGTTAAGTGTAAATATTCAAGGGTCAAGTGGCCTTAGTCTTCAGGGTCATATAATCCACTGTATCAGTTCATATATGTCTCTTTCAAGGTTGATCAACTTGATTGTACTTTAATTTTACCATTTTGGATCCGGCAAATTCTGATAACTTCTATATATGCTCATCATTTATGTTATTACATTATATGTGCAGTTATGCAAATATCAGACAAGCATTTGGCATCTAATTAAGTTCATTGGCGGGAAAACAATGGACCTGATATTGCCAGCAACATAAACAGTAATTTTGCTGTATGTTAATTATCCACAACCTGTCGTTTTCACGGAACAATCTTATCAAAAGTTCTGCTCCACTCAGTCTCCCTGAATTGAAAATATCTCTGCGATCTCTCAAATCATCCATACACACTCATCAACGTACACTAGAGACGTGAAGTGCAGAGAGCTGCACTAATATTCACAATCATGTAAAGTAACTCCTTAAATCCTATTTATAAATCATTTCAAATATATTTTATATATTTTAAAAAAATTTTAAACTATTAATTAATTTAATAATTAATAATTTAATAATTTTATTCCTATTAATATTCACCATACTTTATATAAACAAAATCAACATAATAATAAATAGAAAATAAAATTATATATTTATAAAAAAAATTTGTTATTATTTTATAAATAGGAAAAAATATTTTTTTCTCTATTTTATAAATAAGATCAGTGGAGTAGTATCTCTTAATTATTTTAGACCCCTGTGTTACGCAAACCATGGGCTAGCTATAAGTTCTTTTTTTTGAAAAAGGGCATTAATTAGTAAGGTCGTCGCACGGCGCAAGCTGGCTTTAATGACATTAATTAGCATAAATAAGAAAGTAGTCGTAGAAAGGAAAGGAAAGGAAAGAATAGAAAGTGGCTAAACAAGTTGCAGCATAAAATGGTAAACATTGAATGAAGGGTCAAGTGGCCTGTTAGTCTGACAGATAAAGGGTCCTGTAGTTACCTCGCTCCCATATCGATCACGTGTCCCCATCACACTTCAAATATATATATAATATATATATATAAAAAAAAAACCCAATAATTAAAACTCAACTTGCTTATGCCTGTGCTCGCTTTTGAGTTTTGGCTTCATGGTCCGACTAGCTCCGCTCAGTTGTATGTTGATAATGAATATTGTCCCACCCACGGTCAAGTGACCGGTTCTATCCATTCCTTTTACTAATACTCCTCCGATCCTAAATATAAGACCAATGACTTATGAAGAGATTAAGTTAAGTTGGTATTTATAATAATATCATTCTAAAACTTTGCTAATAAGTATATGGCTCACTATCATTATTAGAAGGATTATCTTGGTGAATAAAGTAACAAAATGGATTGGTCTTTATATTAGGATCAAATAAAAGTCAAACGGGGTCTTATAATAAGGACCGGAGGAGTATCTTTTATATTATGTATCACACTCTAAAATATTCATTTCATTTATGTGAATAATAATGGTATATTATTTTAATTAAAACTTCTTCCTTAATTTCTGCGTTGGCTCCATATCTATTTGATAACCGTACAGGAGACTGCTCTTTTTCGACTGCAAGCGAAAGCGATTAATTATTTATGGGGAGGAAGCTTGTGGCTCTGTCATTTTCAGTGAAGGAAAAAGATCTGCTCGGCGTGAATGAAAAACCAGAGTAGAGATCAAATTTAAGATGACGCATGAGAAACGTCATGAGGAATTTTGTATGAAGGTCCCAATCGAAGCCATCCGGGCGTTCGGGAAACAAAACTGGAAACGACGCCGTTTCGTGATGACCAGACGATCTGGGGGCCCAAGAATAGGCACATGGGGCAATCGAACTTCTCATGTGGGCGCGTAAATGGGCTCGGGCTATTAGCTATTCATTTCTTCGCAAAAATCATGGGGTTTTTTTTTTTGGGGGCCAACATCGTGTTGTTCATTCTAAACGCTATGCAAAACCACAGCACATGATTGTAATTTTTAAAAAAAAGAAATATAACTCAAATTTTATTTTTCGGATATATTTTTCCAAGGGAAAAAAAACCCCTCCGGTGGGGGATTGCAATATCAGGCGGTGGTTTGTTTCGTTCGTTTTACTTTCTTAGGGGTTAAACTAAAAGTAAAAACAGTAGCCAGTCTGTTAATTTGATGGCCACGCAATCTCTTTGTTTAAGGAACCAAACGTGTCAGTCGATCTACAGATATATTATTAATTAATACTCCTCCGGTTCTTAATATAAAACCTAATTATTTAGTTGATTTTGATTCTAAATATAAAACCTATTTCTCATATTTATTAATGTTTCCTAAATTACTCCTATAGATACTCTTGCAATCATAATCAAGTAGAAGAAGGAATGAGATATTAAGAAAGATGATTATAATGTTTTAGAAAAAAACATGTTATATTTCTTATAATTAACTAACTTATCTAATTTTCTTAATGTAATCAAATTAGTTAAATAGGCTTTATATTAAGGATCGGAAGAGTATTAATAAAAACACTTGTCAAACCATTTTGACAAACACAAACTAGGTAAAAATTGAACACTATCAACCAGGCCTTGTTCTATATATATAAATGAATGCTATAAGAAAACACGAAGGAATTTCTGAAATTAATTTTGTGCATAACACGAAATAAATTTCAAATGCGCATCATATAATATGTTTTGGCCGTCCCCATTTCGTACGGCAAGTTCGACTTAGATGCGACAGAACCATAGTCGAAATAGCATGGAGGGTCAGTCAAATTCATGAGGTCAACCTCAGACGGGAAAAAAACAAGAAGAACATCAAAGATAGACGACACTAATTCCCCAACTCTTCAAGAACAACCCAACATGTCCAACTTTACCGTCACAACGTAATGTCCATGTTCTCTCACACGCACTTATATATATATATAGATATGGAAGTTGTGTGTGTTGATGTTGAAGACGATGGGAATGAGAGGAGGGAGTAATAAGCTGAAGGCAATGAAATGGATGGGTTGGAATTATAAGGGATTGGTAGGGTCAAAAATGGGAAGAAAAGGTTACGTACCAGTGAGGGTTGGAATGGATGAAGAAAGCAGTCGGAGATTTGTGGTTCATAGGAAGGTTCTCAGGGACGAGCGTTTCTGTGAGCTGCTCTTTAAATCAGCCGAGGAATTAGGGTTTCGCAATGATGGAGTTCTCAGAATCCTATACGAACCCTGCGATTTTGAACGCTGCATCCTCAATTCTTCCAATCACAACCTACCAGAATCGGTAACGTGAGACGAAAGTATCATCATTTCCTCCGTAAATTCAGACTCCTCAACTTCATGTTCAGTTAGTGTCGTTTCTATTTCTTTTCTGATTCATCTCTTTCCCGTCGCAGCCAGCCGTATTTTCATCGTGACTTGACCTGGATTTCTATTATATTCTTATTGCAAATGGATTTCATAAATTGTTAGTGTGTGTATCTTTATCAGGCACAGATTCAGACTTCAGAGCTGTCATTTCTTTATCTTATTTCTTACTTGATTAGCTTGCTCTTGCTGATAAATTTTGTTATGCTGTTTTATTTATATGTATATTATTTGGTTCAAGTTTTACTCTATTATTCTCCCTCATTCTAGACTTTGATCGTGTTGATTTTCAAGTTTAAAATTATGCCAAAATTAACTGAATGAAGAATTAACATAACGTAAAATCAATAACAAATCGCAAAATTCTGTAAATACTAATACTACGAGTCCGAGAAAATCATGCTTAATTCGGATTTTTAGAAATTCGATGAAACCAAAGCTGCTTATGCAATTAGGATAAGCTCTAATCACAATGGGTTTTCTTGCAAGTTCATGTGGGTGAAGAGAGGGGGCCTAGGCCCAAGCATGACATTTGGTCTGACCTCAAGGAAACTATCTTTCCACTGGCCCACTATTAACCTTTTTGGGTACAAGGCCCACTAATAATCTTGGACTCGTCCTCAGTGCATTTGTGTATATATATATGTTGAACACTGCAGGTCCCATCAACAGGTAATCAATTTTGTATTCTTTGTTACCCGAGTTCTTATTTTCTTTTGAAAAATTAAAAAACCTTTCGGATATTAAAGTTAAATTCTCTTCACTGAGTATATAATAAAATATATCTCAAATAGAAGAAAAATTGAAATTGACTTTATATGCAGTCGACTGCTCTTTCTTTGCTCTCTCTCTCTCTCTCCCCCGCCTCCCTTCCACCTGTGTATTTAATATGTATTCACTTTAAACTAAAACTAAAAATTAAATACGCGATCCCAATCTCCATCAACGTTTGTCTTCTCATAGATATGACCACGTCACACCAACCATATAAACTTACAAGTTACAATTCAAACTGCGGGCGAGGCCCCAGGTTTTTTCCATACCAAACGATAATACTGCTGTATTTCTATCATATTAGAACAATTCTGCTCCCAGCTTTTGAATATTTGTTTTAAAAAAATTTTCTTAAATTATTAAAATCATTATGGGGACGTTGTGGATATTAACTTTAAATATTAAAAAACCTAACCACCGAATCTTATCTCACGAATCACGAGCTGATGAGAGGACCAACTTGACTGATATGTTTTCAGTTTTTTTTAAAAAACATAAAATTATGGAATAATTATTCCCCGAAAGATTAAAGAGTTTTCAAAATTAATCTCAAAGAGAGCTTTTCACAGTGCTCCTTCCTCGAAAATTTTCAGACTTTTATAAAGGCGAGTCATTTGTAAACAACAATATTAAATTTAATATTTACTCCAAAAATTCAGTGGAAAAGAAAAAGAAAAATCCCAAAAAAATGACTGTTAAATTTTAAAATTTTAAATCAGTATTAGTTACTATACTCGTTAAAAAAAACTATATTTTTATCATAATTCCTGATTTGAAATTTTAAAACTCAACAATCATTTTTTTAAGGAATTTTTCTTTAAAAAAAAAACCCTATCCGTTGTTATTGACTTATATATTTCCCTTAATTTTCCTTCTGATTGCCACTTGGTATTACGTGCAGAAGTACAGTCATGTACGGATAATATACTAGCTAGTCCCATACATCTGAATATTGATTATGATTAATAAATTAAATAATCACGTGTGCAGTTTTAAATGAATGAAGTGGGCAACAATTAGTAGTGGATTAAATAATAATTGTTGGTCCACATATAATCTAAATCAAAATGTCTTGGCAGAAACAACACTAAAATTGATGACGTCTCATTAGTGGTGCCTTTCATTCCTAACCACAAATCCATTTGTTTTGTCTACTAAGTAATTTCTTCATATGATTATAGGACTGCTAAATCTTATCATGCCAAAAATTTAAGTGATAATATAACCTTGCACGTCTGCTGCGCCTGAGGAGCATCTAATGAAAACGTAGGGATAATTCGATCGGACCAAAAACAATGGAATGATGTATATAAGCTCCACATTTCTACTTTTACTTTAAAATTTAATTAAAACAATCTCTTAGTAGTTTATATATTGTATAGTAAATCTAATTTTATTTTATGTGATTTTTTTTTACATGTTCATGCCTTAAGATCAAACTCACTCGCAGTTGACATGCCAATATTGCCTATGTGCAATACAAAATTGTTACCATGGCCGTTTAGCCTTATAATTTCAAAAAGTAATTATATTTTACTCAAAATGATGTACTCATATCGGATGTTGGCTAGAAGAAAATTGTAGTCCAAAATATAAGATGTTGTAAGGATAATTAACGTGATCTTCTCACCCATATTAGATACTATCTCCAGTCTTTAATATAAGAGCTAGTTGATTAATTTGAGTAAATTAAGAAAGCTTGTTAAGTTAGTCATTTGTAATAAATATGTATTGTTTTTCTTAGAATACCTTTATTAATAATGTGTATTAGCTAAAATTATTATTCGATGACATCTTTAATATATGTAACTATTCCAAGGACTATTTAAAAAAAAAAAGATAAATATGAGAGGCAAAGTGAATTGAGATTTTATATTAAGGATCAAATTGAAAGTCAAATTAACTTTTATATTAAAAATCAGAAGCTAGTATGCATAAGAGAGAGAGAGAGAGAGAGGAAGGAGGTGAGAGATAATAAAAGTGTACTACTAAAAGGAAGTACTTCGTCATTTTTCAGGGGTAAAATAGGAAAAATCTATCATTTTTAAGAAAGCGAGAAAAACTAACAAATTTCTTATATTATGGACTGGAGGGAGTATTTAATTAATTATGAACCACGACTGAATTGGTTCGTAAATAAGAAAATTTATTTTCATTGAAATATAAATCACTGGAATACTCAGTTATTAAATTATAAAATCGTATGATATATGTATTTGTATACATAACGTAAAAGATCATTGAGTCACAAAACGTATTTATTTAGCGGCATAAAGAGGCAGAATCTTTTGAGAATTTTGACCGCAGAATTTTCTTTTTAGTTGTTTGGGTTTAAACGTAATGATGATGATGTTTAGTAAAAAAGAAGACTCAGGTTTAAAAAAGGGCAGATTAAAGACAAACAATCATTAGAAATATCGACGACGTACGCTGGTCTCCTTCCTGGAAATGGACTCAGCATCTGGCATCAGCATATAGACGCCCATCTCATGCTTATTACACTCACATTTGTTGTATTAAAATTACAAAGTTTAAATTTAAAGATATTTTATTCTTACATTTTAATTTTTAATATATATATTAATCTAAAAACTGTAATTATTACTTGAAAATTTAAGAGTTACAATTTTTAATTTAAAGGGTCTGGATAAGTACTGCGCAGGAGAGGTCCTGTACCGAATTTTATGACCACATACGTCAATAGGTTACATTATATCGTTGACAAAGAAATGCAGGAAGCAAGCTAAATCCATAAAAGAAATCGAAATTTAAAATACTAATTTGATGATTGCATTAATCTTCCTTTTTCAATGAACGACGAGACCAAACACAATAATTGCCTTCCGCCTCAATCACTTTCATTAAAAAAAAAAAATTCATATATATTGGTGTTGGTGAACATACAATATAATTACTACCACATAATAAAGAGTAACTCTCTAATTACAATTTCTCGGACCGAATCATCATCGACCAGTGAAAAATGGGCTCCGATTTATACACAGTAAATGAATCCTCACTTCGTCCACCATGATGCATTATTGCGTCGAAGACGCTGTAATAATAATTAAAAGTAATAAAAACACCCTACCTATAATCTGAACATAATGGAATCTCTGTATGTGAATCAGCATGCGCAGGTGTAGAGCTCAGCCAGCTCGTGCATGGACCCCATTTGCGTCTCGGCGTTTTCAAGCATCCACAGCAAGTGCTCGAACAGCACCACCTCACACGCAACCACCACCGCACCGCCGTCTTCCTCCGACTCCGACGCCGACCGATCCACCAGCTCCTGAAAAACAGGGTGCTCCAGGACGTCGGAGCTTACGAGGTAGCGTCGTCGCGACTTCCCAACGTAGACCGCATGGAGCGATTGTTCTGCTTGATTATGATCGGCGGAGCGGCTGTGATGAAGTTGGTTGTCGCTTGTGGTGGAGCGGCCGCCTCCGCTGCCGAGCTTGGGGAAGGAGGGCCAGCGCTTGATGGCGGACTTGAGCTTCGTAAGCTTTCCGAGTTTGGCCATGGGAGGGTAGTTATGTGATGAGAGAGAGCCAAGGGAGGGTTTGGGGGATTATAAAGGGAGGGAAGGACAAGAGAGGGGGCCCACTGTACAATGGAACAGCTAAGAATGAGATGGTTGGGGCATACCATGCACAGGCCCAGTTGCCACTCCTTTTGTTTGCTTTTGATCTTTTCTGGGCTTTGGGATTTGCTTCTGATTTTACTGTCTTACCCTTCCCGCTTTGTCTCTTTCTAAATTCATCTCTCGAGTCTCAACACAATGCTTGCTTCTTTCTCCTCTATTCTTTTTCTTTTCTTCATGTTATTTAAATATTAAGGATTGTGAATGGAAATTAGCCTTGTTTTGAAAGGGAAATTGTCACCTTATTTTTATTATTATACGACAATATTATTCATTTCAAAGGCGACAATTAATTCAGAATTTCAACGATTTAAAGGTTGTAAATGAAATTAAACATGTAAGCTCTCATTTATGAGAGAATTTTTAGTCTCTTAACCTACAAGATTATGAGTGGCTGACATATGTTACTACTGCTAAAATGAAGAAAAAGAAATCTCAAGAACTTGTAATGTGGAAGCTGGAGAAATAAATAATGGATTAGGTATAAATGTTGGTGTTATATATATATATTTTTTGTGGGTGAGTTTGCTAATAATAAAAGCAGAATATATAATGAGAAGCCAACAAAATGAAGGTGTTGGTTGGTATGCAAGCCTAACCCACATCTCCTGATCTGTTAATTTAAGTGTTTGTGTGTATATATGTATGTACTGTACTTATACTTATTTTTTATTTAAAAGGAAGAAGAAGAAGGGAGGCAAGGGGAAGTGGGTTTTGTTGATGAGAAAGAAGACACATTTGTCGGGTAGAGGGTTTGATTATGGGACAGAGGGGTCATTAAAGTTTCTGCCTTTCTAGCTCAGCAGATGGGTCCCCCGTCCTCGCAACCCCCCTCACGAGCCACTTCTCCATTTCTGCAATATCCAAACACTGCACCCACTTCCACCCATGTTTATATCTTTAATTTAATGCTATTTTTTTGTTCTTAATATAAAAATTAATTGAGAGTTAATTTTTTTAAATATAAAATCTCAATCTTTTTTATTTATTTAAAACATTCCTCTTAATTGTAAGGAGTTCTTACTAAGAAATAATTTTAATCATCCAATGCATATAATCAAATATGATAGTTTAAATAGATTAACACATATTTGTGATGAATAACTAATTTAACTAGTTTTCTTAGTATCATCAAATTAGTTAACTAGTTTAACTGCTCATGTATTAATATTGACGAGTTTGTTTCAATTACTTAATTTACTTAGTGTAAAAATTGAGGAAAAAGTTGATGAATTCCGGCAATCCCCCGTTTGTAGTTTGTATTTGTCAAGGTATTCCTATCCCAAAACGTACATACATTACACAGGCATATGAGTCGCAACGCATATATAACTTGAAATTTGGGCCTATATGAAGAAAAAAAATTGTTATTTTGCGCAATGGAAAAGAAATTTATTACTATGTGATCATAATAAAATATGAAATGGTTGCTTACAAATGGCACCCAGATGCAAGCGGCAGCCATTGTGTGGTATAATTTATTAATCATTAGTAATTACTATCGCTAAACTTTACCTTACACATTGATGATTTGACCGAATTTTCCAATTTCCAAGGGGACTCGCAGCATGCTACAGTTAATATAAATCACTTGTAATATACTACTTTCAGTTTTTAATATAAGATATTATTTGATTTTTATTTTAATTCTAATTATAAGACTCTAATATATTTTATCTCTTATATTTATATATTTTTTCTCAAGATAGTCCCTCTAATAATAGTAATTCTAACCAATAAACTTGATTAGTAAGGATATTTTAGAAAAGACAACACATATTTATTATAAATAACTAATTTAACTTATTTTCTTAATCTGCTCATATTAGTTAAATAGCTCTTATAATTAGGACCGAAGATAGTATTTTCACATATCAAAGAATACATTAAATTAAGAAAAAATTTTAATTTTACTTTTGTTAAAAAATTTTCTCTACATTTACAAATTATTCTCATATCTCTTCCTTCCTTCTTTGTTTGGAATGAAAATTAAATAAAATTAAAATTAAAAAAAAACATTAAATATGTCACAAGTAATCTATTTTTGTGACTAAAACTTTTTCCTACCAGTGACTTGCGTCTAGGACTAGTATAATAAATTTATTGTAATTACCAAAAATTAGACGCAAAATGAAATGTTGGCACGTATGAAAGAGATGAGAAGTAGGAATATTAATGGGCGTGACAGAAGGGAAGGAGCAGAATAATTAGGATATAGGAAGAGAGGGGGCAAGAGTAGCACTTATGCCGAAGCCGTGTCTGTGGTCCAACCCACCACACTGCACACTAACTTCATCGCACCACAATAACACCAAATTCATGTCTCCTTCTGTGTAAAGCGACCGCCTTCTTCTAATTTTGCCCTTCCTTCCCCACCCCTTCTTTCTTCAGAGCCCATTTTAATACGAGACTCAGTTAACTTATTTAGATATATTTGAAAAAAGATAATAACTTACCTTGTGATGAGTTTGGTATGAGGGAAACGGATGGGAGGAAAAGTGAGAGAAGAAGATTTTTTAATAAACTTAATTTAAAAAATTAAAAAATTACTCTTTTATCTTATTTTTTAATTAAAATTTTAAAACCCTACTTTTTTAATTTTTTAAATCGAGCTCATTAAATTTTTTTTCCTCTCCCTTCATTTTCCTCATACCAAATATAGGATTAAAGTATTTATAATTTTTTTTTCAAACTAATTTGTCACTATTTTAAATTGATATATAATCTAGTGATACACATAAATATTTTAAAATAATCATATAACATATGCTATAATTAAGTAATTTAGTAATTTTTTTAATCTATGTAAATTAATTAAGTAATTCTTATATTAAAATGACTATTTTGTTTTCGGTGTCGACAGGTCAAATTAGAATCTTATTGGGGCTCTCAACGTCGATATCAATGAAATGTCATCCCCCGACTAACGGATATTAATGTTGACCTTTTAACTCCATATTGACTTCGGGTCTAAAAGCACTTTCAATTTTGCCTCTTGACGTCGTGGTAATCTTGGACGTTCTCATCGAAAGACGTGGCATGTTATAGATAAGTTGTGACTTGTTAACCAAAAATGAAAGGAACAATTTCCTCTTCAAAGGAAAAATTCAGTTGAATCCAAAAAAGAAGTGTGGGGAATATGATGGTGAATATGTGATGGGGATTGATGGCAGTAAGAGCAACTGGGAGAGGCAGGATAGGACGATCGGTGTATGGATGAGACGGGAGGGGTGAAGTGAGGCCAAGTGTGTACAACCAATGGGCCAACATGGGCCTGTGGTTTTTGTGGAATTGTGTGCTGTGCCGGTGCGTAATTTGTCATAAGAATGAAATTATCGGCTTTACCAACAAAATTGATCTAATAGAAAGTGTTAGTCTCTCATAACATGACGAATCAAGATTTGAATTATTATTAGGAGAGGTGGTTACATTTAGTGTTCGACAATATCTCGGATAAGATTACTTCCAATAGAAAGATACTTGTGTTTTAGCAAAAAAAAAATTATCAGCTTTAAAAATGAATAATGGGTTCGCCAACACTTAAGGAGTGTTTGGTAACATGAAAAAAATATTATTCGGAAAAATGAGGTAAATTTTTTTACATATTTATTTTTTGTATTGTAAAAATATTTTTAAAATTATGATTTGGTTTTCATCTAAATACACCCCTTAGTCCAAAAAGAAAAAAAATAAGGGGAAAAATATTATACAAGAGAAAACTCTCAAAAATAATAAATTTTTGGTGGTCTAACACCTGTTGTGAAAACATTGCAATGTGTGTCAAATAAAGTCCCACATGGGAAAAATGAGAAGAAGACTAAGTGTATAAATGAGATTAAGCATCATTGAGGGGGTAAATGGGTCAAGAGAAAAGTGGGCCTCGCGCACACAACAACAGGCCACCAGAAGGGAAACGCAGTTGAAAACTGGCGATTTCCCCCCTGCGCGTGAATTAGATGTGGCAACGCCTCATTTTACGAAAATTATTTTAAACTTTTGTTAAATTTTTTAAATAAAATTTTGCTTACCGGAAAAGTCTTATTTTGGACTTGTTAAAAATAAAAAGGGTTGCTGTCTTGTTTTGTGGCCGACCGGACGCGTCTCATGGGGTGTGATCGAACGTTGTGTGCACCAACGTTCGTGTTGTTCCGTCTCCAACGGAACCTTGCGTTGTTTCCGTCGTACCCATTCAACGAAACAGAGGGATGCGTCTTCCGGTGATGTGGCCATTCGCATCTATATAAGGGATGGTTCAGAAAGCGTGAGGGCAGATTGTGCTCGTCTTCTTCCTCTTCTCTGTTCCCTGCGTTACAAACTCTTTCGCTGTTCTGCCGCCTTGCTTCGCAAGAGGGATTCGTTTGATCCTGGGGAGTGCCGCTTCCTGTTGTGCCGAGGGGTTGCGGAATATCTCTCAAGGACAGTGTCCTTGCGACGCAACTCGAACTGGATTTTACTGTTCCTCCTTTGCTGCCGCCAATAACACCGTTGTTGGTCATTTGGTCAAATTTTGGTTTTAATCTTTGTATTGGCTTTGGTTCTTATAATTTTATAAAGATTTGGTGTGAGTTTAACAAATGATTTTTATGCTTAAACTCACAAGTAGCCCTCATGAAAGTATAATGATCAAAACTAACGATTTGAAATAAGAGGAATCAAAATCAAAATTCGATAAAACTGTAAGGGCCAACAATAATATTAACCCTAAATAATTTTTTCCAAATTTTTTTTTTTTAATATTCTCCTTCCCCATTCCCCCCATTTTTCTCTCCATCTAGATGAAGGCTAAATTTGGCAGTAGAAGTAGTAGGGCCAGGCAGGCAGTTGAAGGGCGTTGTTACTGCATGGGAGTTGGGTGCTGGGGGTGAAGATGGGCATCAATCCTATCATAGGGATCCCACATAGTCCAGCTAGCTACCCTGCACTGCGCACATAGTAGCATTAATAAATAATCATGGTAATTAAAAATACCAGGTTGTCTGTTGTCTCTCCCACAGCAACTGTCCCGCACCTAAAGCCCATTTGCTTATATCGTGCATATCCTCCCCACCCCACACGCTTCTTATCGCATCCTAAATGCTGTCTCCTCATCTTACCTTCTGCCTTTAAACAGTCCTATTTTCCTTTCTTATTATAAGACTAATACTTGACGAGATTAAAAAAAATAAAATAAATAAATTACTTAATCATAACATATATTGCATGATTTTTCTAAAATACTTATACTTATTATCAGATTATATATTGGTTTATAAGTTTAGTAAATTAGTTTTAAAAAATGATAAATATAAATACTTTAAAATAATTTATTTGGTTTTTTTAATCTCCTCAAATTAAACAACTAGACTTTATATTAAAAATCAAATATAATATTTATATTGATATTGCGAGTGAAAACCATTCGTAAAATACTATCTCTAGCTTTAAATATAAGAGCTATGTGACCAGTTTGAGTAGATTAAAAAAATAAATTAAATTAGTTACTTATAATAAATATGTGTTGTCTTTTCTAAAATATCCTTAATAATCAAGTGTCCAGCTAGAACTACCATTATTAGAAAGACTATTTTAAGAAAAAATAGATAAATATGAGAGACAAAATGGATTGAGATCTTATATTAAGGATCAAAATAAAAATCAAATGAGGTCTTATGTCAAAGATTGAAAGTAGTAACTCTCTAGGTAAAACTCTTGTCAACAACTACTAGATGTGAGTTTTATGCATAAGAAATAAGTCCCATCACTCCCATGGATTCTAAAGTGAGTGTTCATCACTTATGCACAATTCATACTATTAATAAAATAGAAAAGACATATCAGCAAGCGTTTAGCAATCGAACGGAATCTTTGTTAAATGAAAAAATGAATTTTTTCTTTCGGTTACTGTCTTACAGACTGTTAGAAAATTTTGCATCTTAATTCTTATTCTTTTTTTTTTTCCAATACAATAAATGGGGTGTTTGGAATACTCCAAAATTACTTAAAAAAATATTTGTACATAAATTAAAATAAAATTTTTGTCACAAATTTAATTCATATACTGTAAAATTATTTTTAAAATCATGGTTTACCCCACAAGTTTATGAATCTCAATTCTGAATTCATAATTGACGGTGATATACTATTGGACTTTAATGGGTCGAGATCGAAAATATGCCGCAGTTTCATAGAGACCCAACCCAACAGGCTGGCCCAAATATTTGAAGGACAATTATACCATTTAGGTTAGTGGCGTTTTTCTCGTTAATTTTTCGTTGTAGGAGACTCACCGTGATCCCTGAAATCCCCGCCATTTTTCACGGCCTTGCAGCTTCAGAGGGCAGCACCGGGCCAACATTATTCTCAGAGCCATGGCCTCGGCAACCGCAGCCGCCGCGGTTGTCGCAGAAGGAGGCTGACATCCAAATGATGTTGGCCGCCGAGGTCCATCTTGGAACAAAAAATTGCGATTTCCAGAGGGAGCGACATGTCTTTAAGCGCCGCTCGGAATAACTTTGAGCGAAATTATTGGCTCTCCAATTTTGCCCCTAGTTTGCTTCATTCTTTCTGTCCCAACAAATGAAATCGGGATTAGCTGTTTTCTTTCTTCGGTGGGGATTCTTATAGATTCCTTAAATTTTGATAGTGGCAGGAATATTCTGTTCTGGACATTATTTTTTGTTTAAATTTTTTTAAATATCCTTGTAACAGCTCATTTTGTGTTAGACAAACACACATCCATGATTGTTTACTAAAACGGTGCATTTTCTGTGCTATCTAATAACCAATGTAATTATTTCTACAAATGACAAGAAAAGTAGAATGGAAAGGGGGATGATGGGCTCAGGAAGAAAAGAGGAAGAACAAAGCTGTGGCCATTTGATTATCATTAGTCATTAATCTGAGCATTGATTTGGAATTTGGTTCGTGAACTTCAAAAATATTTGAGTCTTCCTAATCTTTTTTTTTTAACTGTTACCAAATTAATAGCGTAAGAGTAGCGCATGTTAATGCTAATTGCTGAGTTAAAATAATTTGGTAGTTTCTATGATTGAACGGTTTGGGACCCATTATAATTTATTTATTTTGTGGAATTGCGGATTCATGGTTTATCAAAATTATTGTTAATTAATTAGAGTCATTAATTTGCATAACTCTTGATATTGCTGACATTATTAATAAATTCATTATGTATTTGTTTCGCAGACGCATAGTTTCAATACCTTTCCATTTAATATATCCTATCCATTGGTTCAAATTGCAATTGCAGATGAAATTATTTTATTTAATTTTCTGTTGCAAATTCCTATGAGGCGAACTTCTTAAATTGTACGTTCATTTAGTTTTATTTTTTATTTTTATATTTTCATTAATTAGATGATGATTTTAAAACACAGCAAGAAAGATACATGGACTTGATAGATATTGATGATAAGCAATCTGAAGGTAACAAATCAAATCAATGAACAAATTTTATTTGCCATGAATTTTCTTAGCCAAAATTATTTTAGAATATGTAAATTTAAATATACTTTATTAACGCTTGCACTAATTCTTTAGACAAAAAGAAGAAGAAAAACATTCATTTGGATGGAACATGGTTGGATAAATTTTGGGTAAATGCATTTTGATTAATATCGGCGTATTCTTCTGATAATTGATCGGATGAACGGCGATTTAAAATTTTTCTTTTTTTTGGGATGAAGATCATCTAAAGTCAAAAGGATTCTCTATCTGAAATTCACTATTTCTTTAAGAGGCTTCACTTCGAACAATCATCGAACTCCATTCCGCATTGTTTCAGAAGTTGCTTCATTTTTTACTAAAAGCATATGTGTCTTCTAATAAGAGGCAATTCTATTCGAAATACTATCAAACAATAAATACGGTTGTCTCTCTTAACAGAAATTTAAATCTTAATTCGTCACGTTATAAAAGACTAACTCCTTCCGTTAGACCCAACTCTCTTTGGTAGAAGTTGCTTCATTGATCCGTGTAATAAAGTGGCTACCTTTTGTGGTCTCCTTAGCTTTGCGGGATCCATTAAGGTCCCGTTTGGTACGAAGCATTGAAAATGAGGGATTGGAATTGTAATTGCAACTGAAAAAAATCATTAAAATAGTACTTAGTATGAGTAATTGTTTGTTATATGGGATTAAGCAAACCCATAAAGGTGGGATTGGGGAATACCACTTCCCCCATGGTATTCCCCAATCCCACATATATGGTTTTGATTAATCCCATATATCAAACAATCTCTTATACTAAACACTCTTCTAATAGATTTTTTCAATTGTAATCTCAATCCCAATCCTTCATTTCCAGTACTTCCTACCAAACGCAACCTAAGTGATTGCTTGGGATCAAGATTGACGTCTCTAAAAGCATTTATTTATGCAATTGGAAAAAAAACTTCTCATGTTTATTTTATATTTCGTAAATTATAATTAAAAAATTACTTTTAAAAAACAGCTTTTTGAAGAGTTTTACTACCATTTCAAACAAACCCAATGTAGCTCTAATTTGCGCTTCGAATGCATGCTTAAGAATATAATCCTTTAAAAGTTAACAGTTTCAATCTTGTCTTTTTCTCCTCCTCCTCTGATCTTTGCACGGGCTAACTTATCATTGTGCCGAAATCTGTTGGATATATGTTGTGTGAGTGATTATTTTAAAAGAAATTATTTTGGTAACTCACAAATTATTAAGCATTTAATTTGGAATTAATTTCTAATAACCTCCCACTCATTCCTATATGCTAATACTATCATGATCTTCTTGTTGCTATATAATGGTTATCTCTTTCCTCCTAGAGACAACCACCAAGCTGGTCCTCCTTTCTCTTAATTCCCTCCTCTCTCTGGGCTACAATTTCATCCCTCTCACGAGCTTCCCTGGGAAGGATTTGACTTATCCAAGGAAAAAAAATACAAGCAAAATACTTCTGAAGGACAATGCTATCCAAATGCGGCTCATACAAAACATAGAAGACAAACTATCTAGGTCGGGTAAGCTATGAACTACACTAAAGTAAGCGACGTAAGCTCCAATATAAATGAGAACTGAACCTGGCAGTTCGGATTGATTAACAATGCTAGATGCCCAACTGAGAACCAGTCAGCATGTTTATATACACAGGACTTAACCGGTTAATCTAAGCAGCTCCATCAGTGATTTTTTTTTTTTTTTGGTTTTTGGGTCACGAAAACTATACACAGGGGTTGGAGATATTGCCTTATTTATGAAGAGAGAGTGAGAGACGAAGTAATCGCCTACCGCCAATCAGATATAATTTTTTACCTCCTCTATGTGATGCTTGCTAGAATGGGTCAAAACTATGACTTTGAAACTGCTGTATGAATGCTGATCAAAAGCAGCCTCAGCCTTAGCTTGTGCTAGAGCTGTTTGCTTTCGGATGTTACCTTACCGCCTTTATTTCCTCTGTACAGAAATCCACATCCTTCGGATGACGAATTTAGGTGACGATTAGAATAAAACTCTGACTTAAACAAACAGCATCTCCCCATTCTTTATCCAGTTTGCAAAACTTTCAGGGTATTCTGCTCCTTCTTTGAGCTCTTCTCCGCTCTGCTTCATCTCCTGAAAAATAATTTATTAATAACAGAATCAGTGTAATTCCTAGTTAAGCATACTTTCCGGAAAAAAGAGCTGCTTTATTTTGAAATATTTATTAACTTCTGGAATAACATTAATCGATTATGAAGCAGATTAGTATATTATATTTCAATAAATATCATTTATTAATTCTATTAGGCAATATAAATGCGATGAATTTTGAATGTTAAAGCTTGTCATAGGCTTAAACTATACTATTCTGTTCATGCATCTTACGTTAAGCATTATGGTTTGGAAGTTATTGGGATTCTTATTGTTCTAAATCTTTTCCAAGTAAATCCAAATCATCTGATTCTACATCCTGGCATTAACATAACATAAACTGACCTTCATACTGGATCCTGATTCACTTGCAGATGCGGTTGTTTCAGTTCTTAGTTCATTCACAATATTCTCTGATGAGATGCTGGTTGACCTGTAGCCATGAGCATCAGTTTCCAGTCATAACAGAACTCGAAAGACAGGATCCAATATTTACTCAAACAAGACAAAATAGAAATTAGCAATAATATATACATTCTTTTAAATAATAACCGATGAAAGTACTTTCGCTCGTCCTGTAGCAAAGTAAAATGCATAGTATTATCACAAGAACTACCTTTCAAGTAATTCCTCTTCACAAGAATTTCCAGAAGAAGAAAGCCCGTCAAGATCAAGGAAATTTGACCAGTCACAAGCGTCTCCATGCTCATCATAACAAATATGACCATTTTCATCACACCATTCCTCAAGAATTCTTTTATATATCTGCCTGTAAGATATTGACAAAGCATCAGTGACAAGGATTTGGATGGTTTACATGATAAGGCATAAAAAATACAGTGCATATATCATTCGTTGTCACCATACTGCTTGGCCATTTCTCATTTTTATTTCGTTCACACAACAAATATTTGATTTGACAGAAAGGAGAGCAAGGAAAACAATCACTCCTTAGATATCAACAAATTGAAGCCGTTATCCAGGAAAGTGCACAAGCAGCCGTTTATTACTTTGTGCGTTCTAAGAGCTTTCCTTACATGTGAAAACGAGAAAAGTCCACATCCATTTATGAGATTATAACATATTACTCCTTAATATCTGTTTCTAAGCAGGGCACTTAAGCATTTACCAAACCAGCTTTCACAGCTTCATTGACCTGACAAATATTACCTCCGATCCTTAATCTACTCAAATTAGTCAACTAGCTCTAATATTAAGAACTGGAGGTAGTATAAAGAAATGCAACCTGTTGAACTGTTGACTCAGGCTAAGTCTGCCCCAGCGTGGCTTCGAGGTGCTCTCGGTATGCATATAATTAGGTTCAAAAAGTGATTCATTAACGTTTCTCATACTCTACCTCTTAACTTATTTTGTGAGACAAACCACTCCTTTTGAAAATTTAGATCATCCTACTTTCCAAGAAGAACTTCGTTTTCAGAATTTAAATAATTGCATTCAACAGATAAGCCATTAGTCAGCCTACCCCCAAATCACCAACAAAGACACAGATACACACACACAAACAGCCGCTAAACCACATAGCATCTAAAATGCAACCTAACCATACCTGCAGTGACAAAGATCACTTCCACAAGTGAAAATATCGGGAGTAGACTCCGAAAGACAATGGCTGACTATTTTTTCAGAGGGGTGATTACGCCTAACATCCATGTTCCTGATTGTTGCATCATTTCCGCGGGGAATATTTCCAGCCGATAGCGATCTTTTAAAAATTGACCTACCAAAGAGAGTTTTTAGAGAATAATAGTTGAAGAGACAAATAAAGGATATACAACTGGCAAGCAATTACTGTCATCCTCACACATGCAAAGTGTATTTGACAAAGAAACTTCTTTCCCTATAGTATCGTCTATATAAATGTCGCAAGTTTAGGCTGACCAGACCGCGTGTCAACTACATGAGAAAGCCATATAATTTTAGAGTAATACATTTCAGGCCTGTCTGACCTAGTAGCAGCAACTTGACAGGAACGAAGGCCATTTTGTTTTTGAGCAGACTGAAGAAACAGAAATGAAATGTCTTGACTCATGCCACCTTTAGGCCTCTAACCTACTTAAATGCTTTGTAATTTCAAATTTTGAAACGCGAAGTAACACAATCACTATTATATTCCTTAAATCACAAAATTATCAACTTCCATCATTGTGCTTTACCGCTATTTTCAATTTGAGGATTACTCTGGAGGCAAAATCAGATGTAGCAAAGCACATGAAAGGACTAAATTTAAGAGAACTTACATGCTTAGATATATAGCATATATTGGTAGGTTCCAATTTCTTGTTTTTCTTTTTATAGACTATTTGTTTGATCAGCACAGACCACCACTCAAAAGCCATGTTAATGGAATAGAAGAAAGAAACAGGTATGCATAAAAGTCAAACTCTACCTAAAACTGTCGCCACCAAAAAATGGGCCATGCCTCCCAACGTGAACATGACGATCTGAATCTAGCTCCCACAATGCTGGCTTTCCTTTTTGTGGCTGAAAATGCCCCAAGAATCTGAGCAAAATAAACAGTAAATTAAGAAGTCAAACGTTCTATTCTAACACAACTAGGATAAATTCACAGCTTGTGTGATCCTGTGATCCTTGCTATCATGTAAGTACTGCAAAACACTTACATGTTGATTGCTTTCTGTTTGTCACCATCCAAGTAGGTGTTATTATAATAACGCTGTAGGGTTCTGATAAATTCCTGAGATTGTGTTGCTGCCTTCCATTGACCTCTTTTCTCTGAAAATATCTGTCCAGAAGAACCAAGTGCAAAATGTTCGACTAAGGAAGCACTAAAATCAGGCCAAAGTTTTTTACTAGAGAAACAGGATAAGTAATCATGACAGTTTAAATGTCAAAGTCGGTAGCCTGGAGAAATTTTCATAGTTCATAGGAATTACACAGCCCCATAATCTGCGAAAAACTCCTCAAGTGAATAGGAGAAGGTAATATACGCACACCACACCACTACAAAGTTGTTTAAGCTTTCATTTCAATACTATGTCAATTGAGGAATCTATGATAACTCAGACGATCCAGTTTACTTGGAAACAATCATCTGAAACTGTGCCCAAAATCATTGGCTGCACAAGTGCATATACTAGACATTAAGCAAAGTTATTTTGGCTTCTGATCTCATGTCACATTTCACAATTCATAAACCTTAATTGTTAGAAAGAATACCTTATTGTGCGCTGCAGAACCACCATACTGAAGCGCTAATGTATCGCCCATGGACTCATAGACTGCCATTAACTCTTTCGCCAAAGGGTTGTCAAGGTCTATGTGTGAAGATTCCACAAGTCCTAAAGCTTGTAGCTGGTATCCTAGCGCTGCTAGTCCATAAGTAAATTGTGCAACATTGGTACGATCTAAACAATCTATACAATTAGTCCTTAAGACCCCTGCTTGAAACATCTGAGGTTTGACCCTGTAATCTCTGCGCAGTTCAAGGTTACAATAATAATTTTCATTTTCTACTCGTCCATCAACTGTCTCCTCATTGATGCTAGCTTGTTCTGGCACACACTGATCGCTGATATTTTTATTCCTGCATCACATTATATCCAAAATCAGCAATATGATTATTATCACGCATTGAATTAAATAATATGCTCACTTATTTGAGAAAAAACAGTTGTCCTGCGTAGTAATGCACTGGCAGGAAATTACGGGAATTCTTTTACATTAAATTCACCCAGTTATCCATCTTATTTAATAAATATTATCATAGATGGATCCATGCAAGGGACGTGCATCAACAAGTGAAATATTAGAGAAAACTTTCAACTTGCGCTTTTAATTAAACATCAAAAAATAATGCGTATAAATTAAAAGATATGAAGCTCCTATATAAATTCAGCTTTTTTCCCCATAAGATGCATGCAAATTCGGGAAGATATTGTGAATTCTGATTGCCTATAAACGAGAAACAAGAACACCACACACTTCAATTGTAGACACAGTATAGAATAAAAGCCATGAATGAATAAAGTTAAAAAGGTGCTGTTATAATTCGTACTCTGAGAAGGAGTATTGTAGCAATCCCTCTGGACTTGGAATTGGAATTACTTCACCACAGAAGATGCCGGTTAACTTTAAAGCATATGCAGCAACTCTTCCCAGTTGCGTCAAGACATTAGAAGCTTTGCTGCTAAAGGCAGTTATCTAATCATGTCAAATAACACACGAGAAAAACTTACACAGTTGAACAAGAAGGGAAGATCAGGCTACCATCTTGAATGTTGATGCAGATCCCAGTTAAAGAACCTCAAGCGATTTTCCCCTTTCAAATCCTTGTTAATAGACCTAATAGCATTCGCAAACTCTTCTCGAAGAATAGTTTCTCGAGGCTTCTTCTCACGGGTCTTAGAAACAGAAGATGGTTAGAAGAACAGAAAAGTTAGGAAAAATCCTATAGTTGACAAAACACAACAAAATTAACAGTGCCAATGCCATAAAAAGTTTTGTTGCATGTGGAGAATCCTACCTTAATCAAGTTCAAAATGATAATTGGATTTCCGTATCTCTTCGCAAGATTATCAAAGTGAAGTCTTGTGGCCTCAAAGTTCTGGTCCTTCTTTGATACTGAGGAAAAGAACCCAAGTCAGTATAACCTATACAAGATGAATGCCATAATATGGAGAGTTGTTCCATATCATACATATAATGTCAGGTTTTATATTCAACCGAGAGGCCTCCTGAGACCAGAAAAGAGGGATTGAACCCCTGATCTGCACTACAGAACTTATTTGGAAGGGGCATCCATCATGAGCATCTTCGAAGACTATCTGCTCTGTCTCAACATCATTAGCCACTCTACCCTTTTCATTCACTCCCCGTTTTAAATATCTACACCAGAAGATATAGAAATGAAGTGAGTGTCATTTCATGAAAAGAAAAATAAAAATGACAAATAAATTCAGAAGTAAGAATAATGAAAAAGTATCATCGCAAGACATCACATTGCATGCATCAAATAATTCGAAGTGCATGGGAAAACTAGCATATATATTCAAGACTCAAAGAAACTGATTCAAACTGTTAAGGGTGCAGATATAAGGATTTTTGTAGGCTGGAACAAAAGCGAACAGCTGTGAATTAGATTGTAGCTTAGGTTAATGGCCAACTCAAAGGGATAAAAGTTGTGCACACCTGGTGCCAGCATAATGTCGCGAACGTCTAGCAATGATTGTTAAATTGAACTCCCTGTCAGATATTGAAAGTTTGACCTGGACACCATGTATTGAAACTGAACACTTATGAAAAGGAAAATACTGATTCTTAAGCAAAACATATACTAACTAGCACGAATGCAATTTACTGGCACAACCAGAGAAAGGCTTTAAGCCTTTATAGTAAGCAAACCATTAAAATCACCCAGCAACAAGGCCTTAAAAACTATGCCCTACATATCAGAGAGTCATTCTAACCTTCAAATCAGTGTTGAGGAATGAATCCCAACAAAAGATAACTGAACACTATAATGATCTGTATGAGTAAAAGGCGACAAGAAGAATTTATTTGTACTATAATGATAGAGGAACGCTTGTATAAACAACATGAATTAAAGATTGAGTCCGTAACTATCAAGAAGAAAGAGAAAATTCCATGAGATATCTGGATTTCTAGGCATATCTCAAAGGGCAACCTTATCTTAAAGTAGAACTCAAAGAAGGAAAGAAAGAAAGGGAGGAAAACAAAAGAAAAGAGAGAAACATATAAAAGTTGCTAGTATATTAAAAGCCCCATCAGTCATCTCCCTTCGACAGTCCCTATTATTCACATTTATTAACCTCAAAAGGTGACTTCATACGTACCTGTTTAAAAAAGCCATACACTAAGGCAACTGTCCAGGAAGCATTCTGCAGAATATTCCTGATTCCACGAGTTAAAAACTCATTCCACACAAACAATGTTTCATAAAGTAACTGTCCACTTGTACTATTATCTGATAAGTTCTTTTGAAGGCTATGCATGACATGATATGAGTAGCTGAAAAAGAAGTCCTTCGTAAGATCCACACTGCATAGAAGCTTCTTGTATCTAAGTCACAAGAGAAGAAAGAGCAAAGTCTATTAATAAGATGTTTCATACCGTGGAGAGGATGAGGAAAACAAAAAAAATGATCACAAAAACAACTTATGAAGCCATAAGTGTAGCAAAAGAAGTAAAATGGAAAGAAAGTGATCTCCCCAATGAAACCCCGGTGATACCTTGTCTCACTCAAAATGTTAGATTTACATCACAACAGCAATGAAGATTGCCCCTGTACATTTGCAGGAAATGAACCGGCAATAGAATGTAGAACATGAAACCAACATATTGAAGAAGCATAATTCATTCTACTTCAAAAGAGACAAATGGATTTTACCATAGAAACATGAAGAGGTTCTGAGGAACCCCACATTGTGTATGTACACCAACTTGAAATTATCATCTATATATAATCCGCAGAAAATTCCTCATACTGTAGAAGTTCAGTGCTAGATGAATATGATGCTTTGACAGAATGTTTTGACTAAATATTAATAATATGAATTCAAATAAACAACTATAGTTTATAACATCCATCTCATCCAAGTACATTGGACAGGGTGTAATTCTAAATGCTACTCTTTTATGTCTCTTTCAGCAACACAGACATATTACATTTACTTGCAGAATGAACTAAAGACCTGTTCTCATCATTAGAATAAGCCATCTTGGATCGCACAGAAGCATGTGGAACCGGAATCATTTGGCTATTTGTGATAGCATAAATTGTATGCCCACAAATTGACCCAATCTTCCTCCGTTTTGTTATGATCAGCATGTAGTATGGCTCAAGAAACTTGATAAATCCTGGATCAAAAGGAGAAACAAAGTTGATGGATATATTCCAGTTTCAAGTCAAAACAGCCATAAATAATTAGGACATAATTTAATTGTAGATTCAGGAATAAGCTCTCAAATTCAGTATTAACATGACGTGTAATTCTTTTTTACACCCAACACCATATGATGGGGTGTTTCATAAAGGTTCCTCCACATGCTATGCACTTTATGGCAGATATCTATTTTTCTATAATAAATTAACAATATTGTGATAATGTAGCAGATGGAATATATCAACATACCAATAATTCCATAGCACTTGGTCAAAAATTTAAGACCTCCCGTTGACTTGTTTCCTTCATGTATTCTTCTTAGCAGGTCACAACACTCTATTTCTGAGAATAGCGTAGAATCTTCTGAGATAATTAGTTCAGATGGCTCCAATCTGTCGATCTTTAAGACTCTCCAAAAGGTTCTGTTCTTATCTCTTCCAACCATGTAAAATTTCTGTCCATAGAAGAATGATAGAGTGCTTTATAGTTGTATCCAATAAAGGAAAGTAAATCTAAGCAATTCATGACATCAATGAAGATATGAAACGAATGGTTATATAATCATTCCATGACAAACAAATGACCGCTCGTGCAATATCCCAAGTTTAAAAGCACCTTGCAATCAATAAATCAGCTAGCTTCTCGTTATATTACCTGTCATAATGTCCTTGAAGAATGGTGAGACAAAAAATAAACATATGAAATAGACAGAGAAAAATAAAGGAGAGAAAAAAGTGACCAGATAAAGGTAAAGTGACAGTTAAGGATGTGTTTTGCGGTTGAAAATTATGACAAATTTACTTTTGAATTTCATTTCCGAAAGAAGAAAGCAATTTTTAATTCCCAGGTACCAGTTCCTTTTTTATTTTCCCCCTTTTCATCAAAATTTCCAGAAAATCACATGCCTAATTAATGCTGCCGACAAGAAATAACCCGTTCATATTACTTTTGCAACTGCCAGGTGTAGTAAAATTTCACAACTAAAAGGCATAACATTTAAAGATGTCAAGTTTGAAAATAAAAGGCAAAGCTCTAGCTCCTCTGTTTAAAAACTTGGCAGCGAAGTCAGAGTTTACATAAACAATCAATAGAAGTTACAGTTAAGTTTATAACAGTCAAGCCAAATGAACAAATTCTTGTGAAATGATTAGAAAGTGGACATCGACGCTGATGCAGCGTGATCACCCATTACACCCATGTAAACCGAAAATATATATATATATATATATATATATATATATATATGCAGCGTAATAAATACTGCGAAACGGTGGAATCCATATATTCGCCATTTGCCTGCAAAATCATTTTATACTAGGATATAAAATTCGGCCTATAATTTCCATCACAAGCAGTAGGAAGAAGGCAACAATTCGCTGGGCCAGCAAAGAAGAAGTAGGAAATCTGGTTCATTGTAGTCTTGAAAAACATGATAATCAAGAATCTCGATGGACAGCTATATTGAACCGAAAGCTCTATTAACATGAACGTATCTACCTTCTCGGTGGAAAGGTGGATCCCAATACACTAATTTCTGAAAAAGTTTGTACTAACGGTTCTTAAGATTTTTGCCGCACCTAACGCATCATGAACAACAGCTGGAACATTTGTAACCATATAAAATGCACATGGGAATCATTTTTTCAATATATGGAGAAGAAAATACCCGAGAGAAATGCAGATATGATTTTCAATACATAGGAGGGGGGAAGTTCATCCATACCGATCGAGTTTCATAGAGGCTGAACTTCTGCATATAGCCAAACTTGAGGTCAGCTCCATCGGCAATATGGCTCTGCTGCTTCTCATTCGCTGGCTCCATCAGAATTTAGATCCCGAGCCCCAAAAAGGTCGGGTTCTCCAACCAGCTCACCAAGAGAAATTTCAAAAGACTAAAACAGAAAGCACAGCAACAAAAATTGAACGAAACAGCCGGAATTTCTTTCTGATCACGGCCCCCCTTCAATACACAATAAATGTCTCAAGATATTACATCAAAGAATCTGTAAGAACATAAACAGAAGTTTGTATATACAATGAGACCCCGAAACGGAAAGCATTGAAAAAAGGGAAGAAAGGGAGGAAGCTTGAAATCAAAATCAGGACAGGGAGACACGCCGCTCTCGTGAAGGAGAAATCTAGAAACGCTGGTTTCGGAAGTATTGGGGAAGCAGAAGCAGACGAAGAAGTGGTTCCTATGTTTGGTATGTGATTGGTGGGTTCGAAGGAGAAAAGGAAGTGAATGTCAGATCGTCAGCCAGGGAGAGAAGAAGAAAGCCACAGCCTCGGCGACTGCATCCACACAAAAATATAACAATTTTTTAAGATGAATAACGCAAAGCATATAAAAACAAGACAACTTTTAAAAAGCGAAAATTCCTTCTTAAAAAAAAATCAATTTTACAATGTGGTTTTGGAAATCGCAACTTGTGAGGCGATCTTCTCTCCGTCGTTCTGATGTGGCGGCGGTAATCAGTAACAACTTATAGATTTACTGAGTGAAAAATCAAAGTGGAAGTTAAGTAGTGTTGAGAATTTCTCGCTCTCACCCCTGAAATTCGGAGGCTCACGACGAAAGAGGCGGATCTCCTCTAACAAAGTAAACGGAAGGTCAAACGGATGGGGTATGATTATGAGCCAAAATGTGGAAGCTCCAGAATTTTTGGAGGAAGGTTGATCGACGGTGAATGATGGGGTCAAAATGAAGGGCGGCGAGTGCCAATGTGACGGAGGAGTGAGTCGAAGAAGGTAGCAGTCAAGGTGGTGGTGGAGCGGGAAATTTTGATATGAAACATCCTTGAGTTTGTGCTCATTGAGGAATATAATAGTAGAATTGGAAAGTCATTTGAGGTGAGCTTAATTGTAAAGTTGCTTGAAACAACACTCATCGAACGAATAATGGAGAATTGCGAATCATTTCATAAGGATTGTGTGAAATTATAGAGGAGATGCCAACAATAACGACCCCTGTACTGTTTAATTTATAAGTAAATATTATATTCGGTTCTAATTATAAGATGTTGTTTATAATTTATAAATAAAGTCTTATAAATAGGGTCGGGGTAGCATTATCATTACTTTGTTTGTAGTAGATGATCCACAAATTATCATAGAACACGATGAGAGAATGATGGCCTAATGCTCTATTTTGATCTAATGAATGAGAAGATTGAAGAAGCACCTATTTGGGTGAGGTCTGGGAGCCTGCTTATGGAATATTATGATAAGATGTTAAGACATTTTAGGGCGTTTGGGTAACTGAATTGGAAAAATTGTGAAACTTGATCTTCCAACTTTGATTTCGACAAGGGGATATGCTGCTCTCATCATTTGGAAATTCAAGTGAAGTTAATTGATCCTTTGGCGCCTAAGTTTTGCCCGGGAATGACAAGTAAAAAGATGATAGAGTTGTCAAAACTCGTGGAAACTAGGGTGCATAAGAATATGTAGTTGATAGCCTATTTCAACGAATGGCTTTTGACAAATACTCTTTTAATTCTTAACATAAGACCTATTTAACTAATTTAATTAGATTAAGAAAGTTAGGTAAATTAATTGATTATAAAAAATATGACATATTTTTTTTAAAAATACTATAATAATCTTTTTAATATTTTTTATCTTCTCACTTACTTAATTATAATCGAGAAAGTATTTATAAAGAGTATGTAATGTAAGTATTAAAGATAGGGGTTTTGCAGGAAGTATTTGGGTTGCGTGAAAAAGTAGTGTTTTTGGGGGAGAATAGGCCCTTTGGTCATTTTAGGACGTGTTTTGGAAGTGAAATGCCTTGGGAAGATGCATAATTTCCTCGTATGCTTTAGTCATGAAACATCCAACCACAAATAGACGTGGTATTATTAAGGAAAATACTTAGGTTAAATTTCTTATATTTATTTCATCATGTTCTCCGGCCACATATTGTTATATGTCATATTCTTTCATCTGGATTTATAATTATATGATAATATTTTAAAATAAAAACACATGATGTAAGTATTGTCACAATATTGCTGGTAAAAAAAAAGTATTGTCACAATATTGCTGGTAAAAAAAAAAAAGTATTGTCACGATATTAATTATCCCATTCCCAAAAAGTTTGTAAAGTTAGTCTTTGATTAGAACATAACTAAGGGCTTACCTTTTTTTAATAATTAAAAATGAATGCTTCTATAAGAAGAAGAATCCTTTTAAAGAAACTTCCCCCCGGGGGGGGGGGGGACTTATTTGAAGGATAAGCTTAATTAGTATTGTACATAAATACTTTTCCCGGCATATTTTCACAGCACAATTTTCAAATTCCTTTTGTTTGTTTTTTGGGAAATTTCTTTCCATCTCGAGAGTCATAACTGACATCGGGAATAATATCTTTATTTAGAATCTTGTTTAGGGAAATATTAATAATCTGCTATATCAGTTTAAAATATACACATTTTGGGATATGAGGAAATAATTAAAACCCCTCACTGTGACAAATAATATTGAAATAAAAAAATCCCCAAAAAATATTTTAAACTTTTAAAATCTCATCATTAATGACTACAAAAATGTATTTTATTTGAAAATGTTATCAATTATTATTAAAGTGTAGCAAACAAAATTAATTTTAAATTTCAAAATTTAAAGATTTTTTTAAAAATTCTCTTAAATTAAAAATAGAGAAGAAACATTAGATATGGAGAGAAGTAATTAAAAAAATAAAAACCATATTATTACCTTGATTCTAATTATAAAATCTTATCTGTAATTATAAATAAAATGTTATAATTAAAGAAATGAAATAAAATCGTGAATGGATGAATAAAGCCTTAGTTGGAAAAAGATTCCACGTAGGTATGGAATATCCTAACGTGCTTTCCTATGGCTGCGAACCAACTAATCATTGCCACATGCTTTTCTAACCTACCTTCCCCGCCCATTCACGCTTTTCACGCCGCATTATTTTAGCCATACTGTATAATGTTATATTTATTTCTATTGACTAGGTCAACGTTAAAATTAATATCAATATAAAATCTAAAACTGTATTTAATTAATTCCTTGATTCATGACTACTCCGTGCTTATATAATACTCTTTGGATCCTAAATATAAGTCTTTTCGTAATGTAATTAACATTACAAAGAGAACTTATATTTAAGATCGAAAGAGTATTACTATATGCATTGAATAATGTAGTTTGCATGTTGAATATATAACGTAAACGTACGCGACATCTGTTAAAATTAATCTAGATGCATCTATAAAGTGATGGATGTGTAATCACGTATATAATTTTTACATGTATAGTAAAAAAAACCTTCTGAAAAATAAAAAAATTAAGTATTAAAACAAGTTATTAATAAAATCTAACTCAGATTTGAAGTACAAAATAACATCAAATGTCAAATACTTTGTTAAAAAAGAAACATTTCTTCCTTTCTCTTCAAAGATATCGCTGGTTAAAAAATTGTGGAAATCGTAAATCATTACAAAAACAGACTAGACTTATTATTTTCGGTTACACACTAAACACCTAAAAGGTCATATCTTACTATTAAAATTTTAAGTGATACATATAAACGCAATCATATATAATAGACCAATTCGCATTCACAAATTGGTACAAATCAACGCGCGTATATTTAATTTCACATTTTTAAAAGCATTAATGTATCATACAGATCTTGAATGTATATAATAATAAGATTCTTATATTTAGTATTTATTTAATATGATATATAACAAGACGACCATAACAAAAGCTCTCTTGTACATTCTTATAATCACATTCACTTCATATTTTTCATTTAAAAAGCTGAAAGTATACAAAATTATGCGTACACATACATCATGCATATGCGTCCATGATGACTTCAACGAATTGAAATTGAAAAAAAAAATACTTAAATATTTCATAAATTCCTCTTCTTATTTTAAATTTAGGAACTGGTTATGGAATTTACCTTGCTATCAAATCTATAGTCTCCATCTACTTTGTCTCTAAAAATTATAATTTTTCTTAAATTATTTTTATTGATTATACATATAATTTAAATGATAAGCAAAAAAAAATATCTTTTTATAAATAATTAACTTAACTAATTTTTTTAATTTTTAAAAATTATTATATTTAGAACTGAATGGAGTAATAAATAATCATGTTGCTGTCCTGTCAAAATTTTCCCCCTTATCCTAAGAGGAACAGTTAATGAAAATTAATGAATAAAATTAATTAAATTGTTTTATTCTAACATGGTAACATGAAATTAATTAAAACTGATCTTAATTTCTCTATCATATCCCATGCCTTAAGGAACACACCACGTACATCTTTAAAAGCTAACAGTTTACTCATAACTTAATATTAGTATAAAGGAACTGCATCCCTTTTTCACTAAGAAAAGGTGAATTAAACCTTAAAGCTTCCTCTCATTTTTTCTTGACATGGGAACTCAAATTCTAATTAGCTGCTAGTATTGGATCAGTGTGTTAAAATACCCAAAAAAAAAAAGGCAAGTTTTTTTACTGTAAAGGAGCGTGCCCAAACTGGCTTCTGGAAATCACTTGCTTCCACACTATTTACGTCATCACTATTTTTTTTTTATTTCACACAGCTGTATGAAATATACGTTTTTCTTTTAGTGAAAATGAAAGCGAAGACTTTTTAAAGTCGAAAAAAAATGAAAGGAAGAAGGCGAAGACTTCTTGTTTATTCATACCAAAAAGCTCATTCAAGAGTGCGATGAAGGAAATAATAAAATATTTCAAAACCATAGAAAATGGAAATTACTGTACTAGTTAGAACCCACGTGTTGAATAAGTTAAATATGCATTTATTTAGCTGAGACAAAATTTGACAAAATATAATTCAGGTTTGACTCAATCGTGTCCGTTCAAATTCATTAATAATGCAATTAGGGCATCATGTAAACAAAATTTCACATTGGCACGCCATCGTTTTTGCCCTTCGCCATCTCAGCTTCTTTCTTACTAACTTCTCAAGTTTTCCTATTTATGAAATAAAGAGAAAAAAATTTTTAGTCTTATTTATAAGATGGAAAGAAATTTTTTTTATATGAATATATAATTTTATTCTTTATAATATATATTAAATAGGAATAAGATTGAAAAGTTATTAAATTTTAAATGAAAATTAATAAAATTTAAGACTTTTGAAATTAGTATGAAACATTTTGAAAGCAATTTATAAATGAAATTGGAGGGGTATGGAAAAGTCAGTTTGCCCACCCATTTATTACTTCTGGTCCTAATTATAATATCTCATTTTAATATACAAATAAGATTTTATAATTA